TTCCCAATGAATTTCTCTATTTAATAAATTTTGTAAACTCTATCTTTTATATCTGCCAAGACAAATTAGAAAGTATACCAAACTAGTAATAAACTTGTTCTATTCTAACGTGCTTGACAGATTACCCAATTAATAGATTTTTACTGAAAATAATACCTGAATACAATATCTCGTTTTATTACTACTATGTCTTATGCGTTTTTGATAAGGTAAAAGCCATTTTATTTTATTACTTTTCGTATATCAGTGCAAGGAATACTATTATTTAAGATTGTAAGTTAGAAATGCAAATCACTAACAATTTTATGATGACACTAAAAGAGTATGATCAAAGTTTTTGGCCTACTAATCACTCAACTTTAATTTATGCTTTCTATATCAATAAGCTGTGAGCCTCTTTTATTCATAACTATGTTTGTAATATTTAAAACAAATGTAGTCTTCACATTGATCTTTTTATTATGAAGTACAATTGGTCAACAAATATTATGTGGGAAAGATTTTCATCATTTCAGAAATTTCTACATTGGCAAAGAGAGAACAAGTTTATATGCTTAACGTCAGCTTTTAAAGGTAGAATGAATTGCAATAGTTGTTGAAATTTTATTATTGATTATCCATAGTAGGGGAAAAATGTCCATGACCCAATTAATTACATATTAAAACAAACGTCAAAATGCTACTTATAAAGTGTCAACTAGAATTTCTATCGAAAGCTTTCAACTCGATTGATTGAATTAGGTTAAATAAAATAAATAAATAAATAAATAATAATAGTTACTACTAATTGTCTGGTCTGTGTGAGTATATCAGTTCTAGAGAAAGTCATTTGTGACCTGAATGTCTCAGTGTTTGGGTTTTTGAGTGCGGTATGAAGTGAATTTCGGTTGTCGTTAAGTATCATTGCTTAATTTAAGACCAATGAAATCCCTACCTCTTTATTAGTGATAGAGATATGAACTGCAATTATACAATATATGCAAGAAGTTTCTGAATACAGTGCTCTAAAAAGTTGTCAAGTATTACTGTGACGAAAACAAACTTGACATTATCAATAGCTTACACTTTTAATCTGAACTGGTTTACCGAGGATCACAACGATTAAAGTTAGCTCAGGTGTGCAAAGAACAGACCAGAAAATTTTTATACCATGGTATTCACATTGAAAGATTCACGCTTTTGCATGAATTAAAATCAATTTTCGATGCAAGTTTATTCACTTTACCATAAAATGTGGTTATTGTATTTCCTAATAAGTAAGAAACTTATGACAGTATTTCACACATAAATTTACTACTCTTTAGGTATTACACTAATAAAATATGAATTAAGAATGATTTAAAGATCAAAATTTTCACATTCGTTAAAAAGCTATCCCAGTTTACTTCCACTTAGGTTAAACTAGGTTTTACTCAATCATAGACTAAGAAATACAACAGTAAATGAAGCTTATGAGTTAGCTAGTAAAATATAATTCATTTTATAGTCATAAAACATTAAAATAGTAATAATATTGAGTAAGTGTATTTGTGTTAATGAATTATGTGAATGAACAATTTCCCAGCTATAATTCGGTTAACTTTAAATATTTATTTATTGTTGGATATCTCAATGGATTAGGAATATAGCTAGCTCACTTGATGATTATTTAAATGAAATAGTAATATTTGCTGAGAGATTATGTACAGTGAACTAATTACTGCTTACTTACTGATATACGTTATGAATACATTTATCTTATGCATGAAGGAAACATTGAAAAATAGTTCAAAGTAAAAAATTATTAGTTACATGAATTAACTTGAAGATATGAAGGTAAAATTTTGAATTTTAAATTCTGTAAACTATCACCTTCATCAGATAGTGTTTAAAAAATTTAGACACCTTGAAAAGAACGCACATAAACTGTATATTATCAAAAAAACAGAAAATCCTTTTCAAATTGTTGAACTTGAATTATTTTATAGATTATCATCAGAAAAATAGCCATGATTAAAATCGATCTTAGTAAAGTTAAATTTCAAAATCAAATTAAATTATTAGTACAATTATTATACTGTACACATGAAAACTCAGTTTCAGTTCAATTTAATTGACATATGCTGTAAGCTGTTCTCATTCATTCAGTAGCTGGCTAGTCTGTCTACAACAATTTGTACTGATCACTAATAAGATTTAATACAGTGTGGTGATAACATTTATTGTGAAAAATAGTATGTATTGCTTATTTGGAATGACCATACTTGTTAAGCTGATTTATTTCCTCAGGTGATATTTTATTTGCTTTGATCAAAATAATACGAGATAAATTATTTCTGATCTCTTTCATTTATAATTGTTGACATAGGGTGATGATAATACAATTTGGCTTAAGCTCATATCAGGTTTAATTCAATAAAGAAAATGTTGTATCAGATTACACTTCTAGAATTTCCTGAATACAAAGTGCTTATGGAGAAACACCCCTAAATTTCTTTCAATGTTTATAAAATCTCAAAGTGTTGAAAGATTTTGATATCATGCCTATTTAGTTTATTTGATACATCATTCTGGTAACAATTAGGTTTTTTCATACTACTGATAAATAGATATTCTTGTCAAACATTCAGTATCTTACATCTATCAGATAATTTTCTGTTTTTTTAAATGTGCCTAATATGAGTGCAAGACTTGTGTTCTTATTAGCCGTTTTGTGAAAATTCATACATCACTGGTTGATTTGTTGTATTGATTCACTTCATGATTATCTGACATCCTATCCTATTATAAAATACTTGAATTTGTTCATTTTTTCAAGTATTTCATTCCAAAGTTTTGCTACGGTTATGAAACCAATGAAATATTATTAGTAAATTCAAATTGGACATGTTTGCAATAGAATAAAGTTTTGAAATACCTGAATTTCAATCTAAATAATGTCCATCGCTTAATTACCTAAACCGTTGCATAGGTGTTCCAGGTTTACTATAATTTACTTGATAGCTATCATTATAATTTCCATCTCCATACTTATATTAGTTTAAAATACCCGTCCTTCGAATACTCGCTGACTTCATGCTATCTCTATCAATAAATTATTTAAAATGACTCACAGTATATACCTCTTTATCCATAATTGCATCCGAATGAGTTACTAGATGACGGTAATAAAACAAGTTTCTATTCACTGACACTAAAATTAAAGATGCAAAATATTTACATTTTACCATATACTACACGTCAGATGATTTAGAAAAAGCTACTGAACAAGTTTCTATATTAAAAATCAATCCAAGTATTTAACAGACAGATCTTTTCAACAAATGTAAATATGATACTTCAAGATTCTGTCCCGACAAAAATAAATTCTACAGTGAGTGTTGTGGAATCCTTTTGAGTGTAAGAACTGAGGTTGTTAGATATTTTGACTAGTCTGTCGCTCTTCCAGAAGCAATAAGCTACAATACTAATTTATAAACTAAGCAAAACAAAGCGTAAATTAACTTTGCGTTCAATAAAACAAATAAATTCTAATCATACTGTTACATTATTCAATCGTTTTCCATTTCACAAATCTGAAACATTTCATTCATTGACATTTTAACAGTAAGCCAAACTAATGGAATATTGACTTATCCAGCATTAAACTGATAGTCTGTATGCTATATTCAATTGAGTGAACAAAAATTACCCTGAAAATATCGATTATAAACTTCAGGATACTGAGTAGACTGAACGACGCGTCAACTTTTATTTGTACTTGATTAAGAAATTCATCATTGTTACTTGTGTGCATGCAAGAAGTTAAGACTGTTATGCTAGTTCAATGAAATACAAGTACACTTATATGTTAGAAGCATGAGAATTCATAATTATTAACAAGAAATTCATTAAGTACTTATTAATCATATGACACTCCAAGATTGGGACGAATAAATGTATTTTGTTACCTAATTGTGATGTTTAATTCTCAGTATAATTGTTTGTACAACTTATGGGACTTATAATCCTGTAAAGTTCATCAAGCGATTGAGAATGGGTTGAACGAAGAAAATAATTTGCAAACAGGAGCATAATTATGCGTTTCGAAAATATCAGTCATTAAATAATTTCTAGACTTTATCTTACTGAAATAAAGAAGTTAACTAGTGAAACGATAACTCTTCTAACGTCTTGAATATAGGAATTTAAAGCTACAAATATAAATAAGTAAGAAATGTAACTAATCTATGATGTATCAAAACGAATAAAGTATTGATTTTTATTTGTTTGAATTCATTTGTACTATCAAACACAGTGACATTTACTTACTCTTTGTTTGTTCAAGATGTCGACTTCGTTTAATATTTTTATACAACAACCTCAATGAACTGCATGACGGCTGATTTTGAAATGACTATGGTATTTTTTAATCAATGCTAGCGAAAATGTTTGAGGATATAATCATAACTAGTAGAATGTGTAGTGACTGGTGTAAATACTATCGAAATATGTGATCAAAATGCCTAGGTGCAAATTTTATTATAACCAAAATATATAAAGATATTTAAATGTTTATCAATGGTAATCACTCTACAAGTGATTGATTTTGATATTCATTCTTAAACAATAACAGTCGATTAGATCACTATTAAAATTACTGTTATTATTGAACGACAATTTTTTGTAGTACATTGAAGGAGGATACGAAGAACCATTGTTTGATACAGAGGCGATCTTGAGTAATCAGTTTAAATCATAGTAGTCTAAATGTTTCAATTGTTTGGCTGTCATTTTTAGTCCAGATTTTGTTACAATCAAATAGGACGGATTTTACTGAAAAAAAACAGTTTCCTTTGAATATAAGTAGTGAAAGGACTAAAGAACAGACTTTGTAATAAACTGTAACAGATCAGTTATTTTCCAAAGATTTCAATATCCATTTTTACATACCTATTTGTATATTTGTATTGAAATCTACTTTTCTCATTGTTCTTTTTTAATTTTCAACAGATTCTTAAATTTTAATTGCAAAGGTTAACATGAAACAAAACCTTACGTTTGCTAGTCTTTGGCCAGATGATAACGATTTCATGACAATTGTTCATCCACATTGGCATAAATTTACTCAACCTGATCCATTGTATTACTATCTAGTAGGAATTTATATCAGCATTGTTGGCATATTGTCAGTGATGGGGAATTCTTTGGTAATCACATTATTTATTCTGTAAGTTTTTTTTCAAAAAGTCCGTGTTTTATATAAGCACGATAAAATAGGTTTGGGCAAACAAATTTAAGTAATCAAAACATGAGTAATTTTCCAATATGATTATTAAGCTAAAGAAATTGGATTCTGATCAATTCAGTGAAATAATTTTTTAATCCTTTAATTTTATACATTTAAACGATAAAAATACAGAACTAATTTTCATACGTTTCCTGGTAGATAACTTCCATTTAATGTGTTCTTGAGGAATATTATCGACAGTGAAGCAGCACTCAGTCGTAAATAGTTAATCTGCATCAAGGCTGTAGTTCATTGTCCTCTTTTTAGAGATACAGCACATCATTGGTAATCAACATTTATTTGTAAACAAATGTTATTTATCAGATTATTTAAATTGTAAGTAAGATTACAAGACGTTTCCGTTGATTACACAGTTCATCGATGGAACGGCAGCTTTCGAAAAAATTATTTAATCGTTTCTTTTAGAAACAAACCTACAGGAATTTTATTTCTTATAGTTGAGATTAAATATTAAAGTTCGGAATAATTTATAAGTCTTAACGAGCCAGAACCGCAGAAGACACAAAAGGATCATGGTTCGTATTTTTAAATATATAGCATCATAAGTTAGAATCTGCATTTAAACTTTGTTGTTTACAGCAAAACTTATGTATTCCGTAGCACAAACTGAATAAATAACTCTTTAATTTATTAAAACGATTCTTACTGTAACTAATTTTAATCATACATTTCAGATGTAAACAATTAAGAACACCACCAAATATGCTCATAGTAAATTTGGCCATCTCTGACTTTTCTTTTGCACTTATCAACGGTTTCCCATTGAAAACAATAGCTGCATTTAATCAACGTTGGGGCTGGGGTAAGCTGGGTGAGTAAAACTGCTACTTCCATCCATTCATTCTTTTCTCTACGATTTTTATCAATTCAGCCATAGAAAAAGTTATTCACGGACTGTAATTTTGTGTGATTTAAAACTACAACTTCATTCAACATTGTCGATGTTTGAATGAGTAAAATAAACACAAAAATAGGGAAAACATCTATAAATTGTATACGTTTGGTATAATCAGAAATAGTTTATTAAATGTCAGTTGTAAACGAAACGAAACCGTTTATCATTTTGTGATCGAATATGTTGTTGGATAAGTGAGGATTATTGTAACTAATGTCACACTAGAAACTAACAATTATTATATATTTTATTGCACAAAATGTGGTAGGTCCAAATTAGTAGAAGTAACTCGTCGCATCAATGTTCAGTAGATAAATGATCACGTCTGTATACTTTTAATAATAGTAGATTTTGATTCTAAAAGAGCCTACACCATTTCATAGAGTCAATCAATATTCTTCGGATATACTGAAATCGGGTTCTGTAAAAGAGGTTAAGCATATTTCGATAAATACTCCATTATGAAATAACGTAACAAATTTATCTTTAAAAAGTTTAAAGTTGCATTGATTATTTTTGGGTAACCGGATTATGAAAAACAGTCAAATTTTGTTAACCCGGTTACTTAAAAATTGCTTTGTTAGAATGCAATAAAAATTCTCTCAAGTGACAAAAAGTAGGGCTTTTGAAATTCTATACTTATTCATACATTGATTGATAATTTGTACAAAATATCTTTTCGTTTGCTAAGCTTGTCAGTTGTATGGATTTGCTGGTTCAATATTTGGATTTATTTCTCTAACAACAATGGCTTTCATTGCATTGGATAGATATTTAGTGATTGCTCAACCTTTTGAAACATTTTCACATATTAGTTACGGAAAAGTTACAGTCATGATAGTTATCGCATGGATATGGTCAGCGATGTGGTCGATTCCACCATTTTTCGGTTATGGTTAGTTTACGAATGTTTGCATCCATTTTAAATACGATGTTTATGATACATAAGTACCTATCAAAATTTGTCACCATAAGACCTTGCCGAAATCGATAAGGAAATATTTGAATTTTGATTGGGCTAAGGTAATAGCGAAATTTCTACAGATCAACTACCGAAGTGGTGTTCACTTTCAGTCTAAAGACTATTAGACATCAAACATTCAGTATTTAATAAACAGTGATTTAAATTAAGTTCTGCAGCATGTCATTAATAAAAAGTGTATATCTTTAATCTTAGTTGTGCTTAACACTCTCTGCAAACACAAATTTAGTTGTTAAACTAATCATCTCCGAACCTTTGTTTCAGAGAGTAAATATGTTTGTTAGTGTTAGTAAACATGTAAATTGTTACTGACTTTCGTACCTCTAATACACACATTTGTCTGCAAATAACTTGAATTACCGGATCAAGCTGTTAAACAAGACCTAGAAATTCTGACTGTTAAATTAAACAGTATTATGATTGCAATATTAACCCATAGTTCTTTAGAATATTTTACACTATATAATCTACAAAATAAATGAATTGAAGGAAAAATAAACTGAAATTTGCCTTAAATACGAATTATATCCAAAGTTCTCACTTGGAATCCACAAAGCCAATGGAAAATAGACCAAAGAACGCACTGCGCCGAGAACCGGATGCAGATATCAAAACATTTAACAGCAATTGTATAAAACTGGAAAGGAAGGCTCAGGACAGAATGGATTGGAGAATGCTGGTTAGCGGAGTATGCTCCTATTAGGGGTAACAGCCGTAAGTAAGTAAGTAAGTTATCCTAACTTACAAAGATACATGATGGATAATCAATCTTGGAAATAAAAGAGTGAACCACTGTCTGTAAATTCATATCATTTTCGATTTTATCTTTTCAAAACTACATCGTTTTCATTCAGTTTGTCTCTTTACTAGCATTTTTTTAAAAAGTATTTTAAAAAATGTATTCATCACTAATTTTCATAATCGCATAAGTCTAACTTGTATTGGAGAGACTATGACTGTTATTTACACGGGGCGTGTACAAATGTCTGTTAGTAAAAGTAGAAGCAATGATGAGATCGATAATAATTACAATGGTAGCAAAGAAATAACTACAATTATGTTGACAAATAGGTCGTTAAGGTAAGAAAAAAGGTTCAGAAATTTATTATCATTAATAATAATCAACTTAACCATGCGAAATTTGTTACACTTAATTACCGAAAATTGGGAATGAAAGAGTTGTATACAAACAAAACCATTATTCTGAAGACGACTTAAAGTAGGCTTTGTTAGTGTCATTTACTTGGGAGTATAATTTCTTATTTAACGAGAAGTGAACAAGACTTTCCTTATACAATAGAAAGTTTATCAATGCTTTCTTGGCTTCTTTAGTAAATCTCCCTCTGAATCCGTAATAAAGCTAAATATATCGTTGAAATGCTAGGTGGGAATCCGAAACCAACTATTTTCAAACATAAACCAGTTATGAGTACGTTTCTAAGTAATACTTAGTCGTCAGTTTCATTATTCATTATTCAATTTTTAGACTGAATAATTCTTTGATTTCAAAATTTGTGATTCAGCTTCTTTTATTTTACATCCTACTGAAATCCTTTTCATGATTTTTATTCAGGAAGTTATATACCTGAAGGTTTTCATACATCTTGCACTTTCGATTATCTATCAACCGACTTACCGAACTTAATATTCAATGCAGGATTATATGTATTAGGATTTCTTTGTCCTGTTTTTGTGATAATATTCAGTTATTATCAAATTGTTAAAACAGTCCGACTCAATGAATTGGAATTAATGAAAATGGCGCAATCACTAAACTTTCAAAATCTATCGGCTATGAAAACAGGCAAGTTGGGCAATATTCAAGCATTTATATTATAATAAAATAATAAATGATACAATTTCAGAAACGATAAATTTTACAGATTGCTGAACAACTACTTGTTTATACATATATTTCTTATATTTAATTGCAAGGTCTCAGCTTTTTCTGTTCAATATCAATCAACAGCAACGTGGAACTTCGTATGTACGTACGTACATTAGTTCAAGTTGCCTTACCAAATTAACACAGAGTTGTAATTGTCAATGCAATCCCATAGTAGTAGAGGTAGTAGAAGTATTAACAGTATTCAGAGAGATTAAGGTTCGACAATAACATTCAAGCAGTAAAATCTAATGAAATAAAATTGAGTTTGTTGCTCATGGATCACCGTTATTATCAGTAAACGAAAAGTTTCATGGTAGTTTTATGTACCTTTGGCTAACTTTATTATTTAAAAATACCCATAAAATGGATTCCGTTAACTCTACCATTGAGAAAAACTTAGATATTTCACAGAACCAAATGAGAAATTAGATTTTAAATATGGTTTGATTTTGAATTAGTGATACTTTCATCTTATGCACTAAAAAAGGTAGTAGTCTATGGACAGATAACCTCTTTGGTGTGTTCATTAAATTATTCGTCCACTATTAGTCATACTACAAATGCAAATAGATTTACTTGTAATATCAAATTTGTGTATATTTATAGTAAGTACATTAATACTGACTACCTGATTATTGAGTATACTAGCGAACCATACCTAAAAGCTTCAGTAATCCTAATACGACAGTATTATGACTATCACTTGGGTAGCTATTTTAAATAATAATAACATCAACTTTAAGTCATCTGAGAGTGGAATAAAATAACGCAATACCCTATGAACCTACCAAAAATAGTTCAAGAACGTAATTTTTAAACTAAATTGCTTTTTAAAATGCAAGTGATGTGTTAGTATATAACTCTGAATCGATTTCTAAACTAATAGTTTGGTGAACATCGACTACGGTTTTCCTTGTTTTGCTTGTTACAAAGAAATATCGTATTATTCCAAAATGCCCCTTTGTGACCAATAATGAGTTATCTTTATTTTATAAAGTCAAGCGGCATAGCCTTAATTGTATTTTGTGGTCCAAAAGTCCTGAGAAACTAATTGTTGTTATCTTACTTGGATATTTTTAGGTGATAAGAAGGCAGATATTGAAGCAGCTAAAACATCGGTTATTCTTGTACTTCTCTATCTAATGTCATGGACTCCCTATGCCATTGTATGTCTGATAACACTAATCGGTAGCAGAGATTCATTGACTCCATTCTACTCTGAGCTGCCTGTCTTATTTGCAAAAACATCTGCTGTATACAATCCTATTGTGTATGCAGTCAAACATCCTAAATTTCGTCTGGAAATTGAAAAACGTTTTCCATTTCTTATTTGCTGTTGCCCACCTAAGCCAAAGGTATGCAAAACAAACTTTAAGTTAATAATTGTCTTTTTTCTAACACACAAAAATTAAATATTCATTATTTAAAATCTATTCATGATATTTATTTGATACCAGTTTATACTCTCTCTCTCTCTCTACATATAGCTCTTTTCAGAAAGATTAGTTATTTTAATTCATTGACCCTGTTTAGTAAAATAAACAACGAATGGTTGTTTAAAGTCACTACTTACATTCCATCTGAAGAACTGAAGTAAATTCACCCAAATATCCCCAAATAACACAATAACATTCTTAGAAACTAAATGTATACACTTCACTGAATCATGCTTGAATATATTTCTATGATCTCAAAACTTTCAGTACACTCAATATAAGTAAATGGCTTTATATGAAAATAATTTTTAAATCAAAAAGAAATAACTAATTTGTCAGAAATATAAGATCATTGACTGTTTGCTGTCATTGAAAGTTAACGAAATGGTCACGAATGTTTAACATTGTACTTGTTATTTTAAAGATTGACAATTAATAACCCTCAAAAATATAAAATAAATAATGAATTTCATATGCTAAAAATTAACTTCGTGAAAAACTGCCGTCACTATCAGTTTCCACTTCTAGAAAATCTTTGGTTGCTTGTAAAACATTTACTGATGAAAACAGTTAGTTATAAAGCATAATGAATTCTTCTCTTTATTATTAGTGTTGTTGTTATGTTTAGTTGTACTTGCATGAGGAATGTTTACAGTCAAAACTTTACCTTAAAGTTTGTAATATTCTTATGATCGATTTTTATTCGTATTAAGTTAACAGTTAAATAAATAATATATGACTACTGAACAAGATTATACCGCCGCATCCATTGAATAGATTTTCACATCATCTAAGTACATTAAAATGGAAATATATGATAATGATTATGGATTGCATAGTCTATTTGCTATTTTTTCCCCAGAATAAAGATTACATCAGTACTGAAACCATAGCAGTATATAAAAATATTTTTGATGATGATTTTACTTGAATAAATTATTTGGTGCCTTTCAGTCTGAACATCAGTCTGAAATCTAATGTAAAATGTTTCGTTTTTTGTTTAATTAAGACTGCTTTTTTTGTGGAGAAGAATTTCTTAGTTAATTGAACCTATAGATATTACTAATCAAGTAGGGTTTATTACTCCCGTTTTAAAAGTTCACTTACCAACTTCTAAGATTTTATTAAAGATGTTTTAATGTCAATCATATATAACCCAGAAACTAATTTAGGATGATCTCGAAAATTCATGAATATTTATTTTAATATACAAATAAAATAAAATATTATTTTAGCTACCGGAAACAGTTTTTCAATAGACTAATTATGTTTTAATTTCATTTGCCATTTCTAATTTCCGAATAGATAAACCGACGATCAACTCTTATAAGATCACTTTAGCTTATTCTCATTGGAATTGCATTTTATTTTTATTTTGAGAGTGTTAAAAATATACAGTACCAGCTCCCTTTCGAAAAATATTTTCACTCACTACTTCTGAAAGTAATCACATTTAAACTTAAATCTATGCAAACGATTCTTAAAAAAGTCATTTAAATTTTTTAGACTGACCATTTATACATGAAATGACTCACTAATTATGTTTAGGATATATTTAGAGTTTGCGTTATGATCCGATAAGCAAACTAAAACCTTCAAAGAGCACATCCTAGAAATCTTTTTCATTTCATTTGAAAATATCGAACTAACCTCCATTAATGCGACTCAAGATTTTCAGTTGGGGAACAACAAAACACTAGTGTACAAAATATCACTTTCAAACTTGTACTACGTACGATGTTTGTTGACTCAGCATTCTACATATTGGGATTTGTAAAATTTTTAATTGATTCTTCAGAATAGACTATTAAAGATTTCATTGACTGGAATTCATATCAACACATTGGGACTTTCGAAAAATACTTTTTAAGCTGATTCAAGAGTACACTTAGGGCAGTGTATATTTCCTATGGGAAAGTTAAAATTTTATTTTATCATGATTTTTTTGCAACCTGTCATTATTCTATGTCGACAAGGTAAACTGTCTACTGTACAGACTTCATTCTGGTAATTGAAGTTCGTTTTAACTAAAACCTAGTCAGAGAGAATAAAGATGTATATTTTACAAACTTTTATATTACCTGAGACATAATTATGAACACCGATTAGTGGTATTAGAGATTTTACTGGCGGCCTAGTTAAATATCTAAGCTACCTGTTTTCTAACATCAAAATGTTTCGAAACTTTACTTCTTTATGTCTGTTTTAACATGTCAATCATGTCTATTAATAGCATCATCTATTCAGGCATAGTATATAAAATGTTTCTGAGACAATACTTCACAAAGTTTAAAATAGTACATTACGAGACATTGCGGAAACACAAGTTACAGCATCAGATGGATTGAAAAATGCCTATTTTGTATAATTTATTCAACATATAGATAAACGTCAGTCTTTACTCTGCTGAATATCACACCTTATGTCTTGCACAATTTAGAAAGATTTCCGCTTGGAATTTAAATCGATTCATTTCGTTCCACAAATCATATAATTCTTAATTTGTCTATCTTGGAATAAACTTAAGTTTCACATTGCATGCTGTAAAGATAGCTCAAAATATTACTGCTTTTAAGTCGATAAATCTTAGGTAAAAATGACTACAATAAATATCTATGAAATTAGTAAATAACATGATAGAAAAGCAGTTGGATTCACAAATATATTTTCTGAATCATACTGAATAATAGAAACACTATTTGTAGTTGAAGATTATTATGATATTTACCCTCAGATTATCCTATTTGCAGAAAAAAATGCATCACACTAGGAACAAACACACTTTTCATCAAGTTATTACTTCAGAATGATATATATATATATATATATATATATATATATATATACATATATATATATATATATACAATGTTTACGTACATTATTCCATCTACAGAAGCACTGGTATTTCTAGATCTTAATTCTTACTGACAAACTTCATCACACTGTTAAAACTTGCTACCGTTTCATCCGATGTACAAAACAAACAAACTAGTTATTATCCTTTTATATAAATATATATGTTTTCAACACATAAGTTAATCTCTTAGTAATATAATAGTAAGTCAGATTGGAAAGTGAAATAAATACATACAAATGCAGTGAATAAAGTATGAATCCAAAACTTTTAGTGCAATATTTAGTTATGAATAATAATAAGAAAAACATGTAAATGACTTACTACAACTGTTTTACAGTTATTTATTCAAGTTAAAAATATCTAATTGATGATATGACTAATTGACAAGTGAAATGTGTCAAACACTATGCAATTTAAATTTTTTTCACTGGCTCAGTTACTGGATAATTGATATCTTTTGTATATAGCCATTTGTAGCAACACAGTGAAACATGCGAAAAATAAAACTGATAGCTCAAATTACTATTTCCATTGTTTAACATCCAATAAAATTGTTTTGTTTTAAAACAGTAACTCTCACTTGTTTAATTAAACCAATAATTTTAAATCTTTCTAATTGTTCTCAATGTTAACATGATCACTTTCATGGTAATTTATACTGTGCTAGTGACACATTAATTAAATGAGTAAATAAAATAAAACATTTTTGATATATAAATTGTTGTATTATGTTGTTTTTCGCTATCAGTATATTATTGTCTTATTTTTTTTTTTTAATTTCCATCTAAACTTTAGCCAATTAGAAAATAGGCCAATGTAGGAAAAAATAATGTTTATTGTGAAAATTCTCTTTTTTCCATTTTGTCCTGTTCTTGTTTTATTACAGGAACAGTCATCAGTACATGTATTTGTTAGATCTGAATGTGTGTCTACAAACATTTCTTTATATGTATGTATTCAAACTATATAATCTAGTAATGTATCTACACGGAATTTAATGAGTAACAGTAAGGTAAATCGAACAAATGAAGGATACAAAAAAGGTAATTTATTCAAAAAAAAAAAAACAGAATAGTAAAATTATGTTTAAGATTTTGAATTGAATAAAAGAAAAGCGAAATAATGATGTTGTTGAGAAAAAAAATTCATTGATGAAACATTCCAGTCATAACTGCTTTCAGATATAATGTAATCCATGTCTTGAATCCTAGTATCAGTTAATTTCTATAAACATTCATAGATGTATAGCATGTTTGGATAACACATAGATTTCTAACGAAATTGCCTTCGTGACAACAAACTAAAATATGTAGCTTTCTTCTTCGTTTGAAGTAGCCAAATTATTTAAATGTAACATATGTGTGCATTTAGAAAGTAAATCCAATCTATGATTTTCAACTGAAACTCTTAGTTTTGTATCATGCATCCATAAAGTCACAATAATTTTAGAAGAAAGTACTGAGTTCAAAGGACAATATACATTTTTTTCAAAATTATGTTAGTACTCATCCTATCCGATCAGTACGTATGGATTTATTATTATTATTATTATTATTATCATTATTACTGTTATTATCTTTCACGATCATTTTGCATGAAATTGTAAAGTAGCACTTAATACAGCTACTAGAGTAACATAAATAGCTGTTCCAATGAACATTCAATCTCTAATCCCGATAGTGTTAGAAAGATAGTACTCTTTTCCTAAAGTTATAGTTGATATAAATTTCTATCAGTTCATGTCTTAGCAACTGGAATTAACAAATTTCAAAGTTTTAATAACTTTAGTTTATATACACATGGTTTCATGCATGACGTTATTGGATATTCAAGGGTCTAGTTTTCTGAAACAACTGTTTGTTTAAATATGTATGTACAAATGTTCCAATGAAATTTAGTTACGTTCTCTCAAGAGATAATGTTAAAGCTAAATTTTTGCTAGAATGAAGTTTCAATGACTGACTTTTCTTTTTATGTTACACATCATTATGCTAGATTCAAAACGGAAGAAGTACTTCCTACTTTCTAAGACATTAGTTGATTCATTTCACTTATTAGTCAAAAATGGTAATGCTTATCTATATAAGGGAGTAAACTTATGTACATTCCATTGAGGCTCATCCTGATATATTTTTATCTGTTCCCATATTACGTAATGTTCGAAAGTGAGAAGAAGCGTTTGTCAGGGTCGTTGTTAAACGGAATTTCAACTCATGTTACTGAATCATTATGGACTTTCAGTCAAATGTACTTATATAGATTCTAACATATTTTCTTAAAGAAGACAACCTTGAACTGATTGATTTTTATGAATATAGAGATGAATACAAATTCTAGGTTAAATCAAATGAAAGTATTCTCTTTGAATTTGTTTTAAAACTGGTCAATAGGATTTTGCAGTTACTTCTATTACAAACAAAGGCTGAGTTTGAAATTTTTCTCATCATTCAGTTGCTTTGATTGAACCACTATCAGAATTATTGTAATCTAAAATAGAATCACACTTTGTAATAAAATATAGGAGGATAGATTTTTCCCAAAATCTGTTCCTAGATAGTAAGTAGAAAAAACTTGAATTTTTTTTCCATTATAGATTATGTTAATAAGTGAAGAAATTTTAAAATTTTCGACATCGTCTTATTACATCATACAAATCAGGATTTCGTTATTGTTATGGAGAGATAAAAGTAAAATAATTCTTTTCGATGCACTCGAAGTCTTCAAAATAGACCGAAAGTATACACTAAGAATTATAAAGCAATGAACCTTTGTTGGTGCGCTACCTAAAACGAAGCACTTGCAAACATTAACTATTTTGATTAGAAAAAGCATCTAATTTCTCGGTTGTAATTCAGTTATTATCAACAATATCTCTTAATAGATTTGAATGTAACTGACTAACTAACCTATTTAGTGTCAAGGTGCTAATTTATTTCTCTAGAGTCTATAAAATAAATTGATCTTGAAAAACCTACAATAAGTAATCACTCGTTTACATTTTACGTAACAGATTAAATGAGGCTGGACAATCATTGTAAATCAGGTATTACTGAGAGCTTATTCGTTAGCTGATTGAGGAATTTAATGGCATTACAGCTCGGCTGTTCAATACTTACTACCTTTTAATGGTTCACTAGTTAAATTCAAAATACGTTTAGATCTATACACTGGAGAATCTTCACGGACTACCTAAGAAACAATTATCTGTTGGTCCTTGATGTTTTCTACAAAACGCATGTGTTCTATCTAGGTATGTTTACATATGCTAGGTTACATAAAAAACTCTTCACAGGATTTTCAATATCAGAAAATAACACCAAGTTTAGTAATCTCCATCTTTGTGTAAAAAATTGACCCAAGCATTTCGCAGTAGAAATAAACGTGAATAATCACTTGATATACGAGATAAATCGATCATTCCTAGTAGAAATGAAGTGAATTTTATTTAGTTCTATTTCATTATTTCTGATACTATTCATTCATCTTCATGCATGAATCAATGAGATAATAATTGCTTCCCAAATAAAACGTTTTCCGGATTTACCTATCAAAAAAGAGAAATTTTCTTTACTTATTTTTAAAATCCACTAACACATTTATCATAAAAGTTTACAGCTTGATTCATTTTTTGCTACTTAATGTTTGATATTTATTTTCTTGAAAAGTATCAAAAATACGTAAGGAAGTGATAGTTGGTAAATGTGATTTGTATGTGTGTGTGTATGTACTCAGCATTTAATCATCAATAATTTTAGAGATATTACAAATGATGTAAACTATTCATATACATTCGTGTTTCGTGTGAATGATCCATTAACAGCTGAGGAGATACATATAAACACATTCTGGTAGATCAGTAATTCATTAAACAAAAACATAGGAATCAGAACATGGATTTTCAAAATAGAGAAATAAATAACACCTGGTTATTGGGAAATTGCATCATACAAATAATCCCAAATCAGAGCTGAAGGATAAATCAATAACTTCCTGGTTTCTTTAGAAAATAGAACTAATAATTGCAACCACAATATTAAGATAGTTATAATCGATAGATTCTTTGTAATCTAGAAAGGAGTTGACAAGTGATACACCTTAAGACTGCAGTGAGCAAGGTGACGAGACATGAAACCCCCTACAGACATTGAACTTTGTAATAAGTCTGCAAATGATTTAAATGAAGCGTTCCAAAGATAACTAACTGCCTTGATACAAAACTCGGGGTTTATTTATCAACTATAGCACTAGCAAAAGCAGTGAGACATATGATACTGTTAGGAAAAGTGAAGCGAGAATTTTAAGGAAGTGATTAGTTCGAAAATATCCACAATTCAGACTGTTCTTCAACTATTTATCTATATTGTATACAAGAGAATATATAATTTGTTCAAGAATTGTAAATTATATTGGTAGTTAAGTTTTGACGATCCCTCCATAGCTTCAATTTCTGTTTATTGTAACCGTCTGAAATAATATCAGGAAGGAATAAGAAATCTATTTTAGAGATGCACCTTCAGACTGAATTATTATTTGAGTATGACAGGGTGATTATCTAATACGTCTTAGTAACAGAGTATCTGGTTTGAAGAACAGTTGTATGTTAGTTAATCAATAAACTCAAAAGAACTATTGGAAACTTTATTCGTGACGAAATAGTTTATTATTATCAGTATAAATGGTACTAGCAATCATTAATCGATGAGCATCATCAACAACTTGTTGTGAACTTTCGGATTTCACATCGCCGAGTAGAAACTTTTTAAAGATTTCGAGCTTTGTTCTTATCACAATTAGTCTGTCAGCACTGTTTTATAGCATAAATCCTATAATAAGTTGGTGCTGTATAATATAAAGTCGGTTCCTGTTAAGAAATAAAAATGTAAATTTCAGTATGCACTAGTGTAATGATGAGTTATCTACGATTAAAACAGTTTAATGTTAATGTCTGCAACAATTAATATCCATAGGAATTGATATTGTGAGACTTCCCAGATACCCACCCATTTCTCCTGCCCAGCCCTGGCTATTCCAAAAGATAACTCCAGTAAAAAAGATTGATCTTACAGAGATCAAAGAACATTAATGTAATATTCCGATGGATTCATTTATACACAGATTTACTAGTATGAATTATTAGCTAGTGAAATTATTACAGTACGCAGAACGAAAATCACACGAAATTCATAAGACGAATACCACATTGAATCAAAGTCTCATCTTACATTGATTCTTTACTAAGAGTTTTTATTTACGGATCTAACATACGCAATAGTTATGAGAGCAAAAAGCAAGAACCAATGAATAGGAATTACTTGAAAATACTGACTATCACTATTCATCAAAAGTACTTGAAATCATTATTTTATCATTTTCTGTTGAAAACAGAACAAACTTATAATCCATTTGGCTATAGGCTGAAAGTATCAAAATAAATCTGTTCACTTAAAATTTGATATCTCTAATTAAGCTGATAAGTTTGTTGAATAACATACAGAATATCAAGTTACTAGTTATTAATTGAATCTATTTTCCTCTTTCCTTTTAGGAGCGACTACAAAATACAATAATTTCAAAAATTCAAGTTTCACAAGTTGAATTAAGTAATGTCAACAGCGGTAATGAAAGCACTTCGGGGGAAGTAAAACTAGAAAATTAACAAATGTTTAAAATTTGTGAAGATCACATTGAAGTGAACTGACATATATTAACATAAAATGATGATCAGAATAAGAAAGAGCATTATATTTCACCATCTTAAGTCTCATGATTAAAATAATTGCATAGCCATTTAATTCATACGCACATTTTCTTTTAGTATTTAATTAAGTAATAAGTAGTCATAATCATTCTATTCATATTATTTTATTGTTTTTCATTCATCTGAATAATATGTGTCAGCTTATTCACTCTTGTTTATGTACGGCATTCTATTCATTGGATTCAATAGATTTAAAATAAAACAGTAGAATTTAACGTTCGAAATATATTCTTCAGTGTATGATTAAATTTTTAAGTATTATGATACTCTTTGTTTTGAAGCTCTAAAAGTTGGCTACATTTATATAAAGCTGTTGAAGTTACATAGGGATCATTCCGATCGAACAGATAGAAAAACAGTAAAATACTGACTAATTACCGAAAGCAGTAAAATGATGCGCAGCTTTCTAAACAATTATATCCGAAGATAGATCGATTTTACGATACAGTTAGATTTCTGGAATTCACAATTTAAACAAGTGTTTTCCGCAAATTATCATGAGATTCTACAGTTACAAATAGAAATCTACATTTTACACATCTGAACTATTGTGGTCAACAGAATCGAATGGACACAAATCAAGTTAGATGCATTGTTACTTATGCCCTTTAAAATAAGATTACAGTTATTACCCACTTTTCATTCATCAGTCACTTAATAAAGAATTTAAAGAACTAATGGATATTTTGAATTATATTAATCGACTGAAACTAACAGAATTTTGTTTTCACAATTGAAATCATGAACTGATCATAGCTACACTCCATTAGAAGTCTGGAAGCACTAAACGGACGTCTCGTTCTAGTATGGAACTCCTTATAAGTGCGCATCTACTACCTCTGCATGTGAGGACAGAACTTAAGACCTTTGGGTCTCACGCAAGCACGCTTAACCTTTTGGCCACTGAGTCGGCATCGAAAGGAGTTAATCCCTAAATTCAATCAATCCACGGTTTTTCGCAACATCCATTCAGAATCGGTGGCAGATGATTGTATCTTATCCGACAGGAATTGAACACCACTAGTTACGGCTTTTCACTAGAACTTAGGAATTCATCTTGATCACAGGTGAAAATATGGTTTTTATTAATGAGGATCCGTGGAAGTCGTATTATTTTTATAGTTTTTAGTTGTAGGAAAAGAGTTAATATCTTACTTGTAACATTCTACTGGTACATAGCTGATATGAGGATATCAATCGAACGAGGTAGTGACGCATTTAAAAAGGAACGAGCTGTATCTGCAGGTATGCTTCATGCAATTCGTCTTATTGTAGAGTATTTCATGGACTTCGAATGAATGGAAGTCTATGCACAATATTTTAGCACCGACTTTGTCGGTAAAGCTTTTTTTAGTAAAAAAAAAATAGTTGTTGAGAACTATTAAAGGACTATAATAACCACCTTAGATATTTGAATATTAATTTTCTTCCAAATACTCAGTATTTGTGATATATACCCAGACAGCTTTACTGTTGTCGATGTCCTAAATGAATATTGCTCATAAATATGAAGGTACTTTTCATTCTCAATTATCAACCACCTAAGTGATTTAAACAAATAACTCAACCCAATTTATTATTTCTCTCTTATAATAAGTAAAATACACATGTTATGATGTAGCATAATTAGGGTTTTAGAAATACGTAGTCTCAAAAGTATTATTAAGAAGCTCAAATGATGTAACTTAAATACAAACTAAAAAGTAGAGTGTACATTTCATTATGTACAGGCAATTAAATTGATAGGCATCGAAAAATGATTCTAAAATTCTTAGCAAGGACGAAGCGCCCTCTATAATTATTACCAAAAAGTAGCACATTAATTGATGTTTAGTCGTTACAGTACTTGGAAGTACTTGGTACAAATCGAGATTATTCAAGTCGATAAAGACATAACGTAATCAAAAATATAGTTTGTCAATACGCAATTTGTTGGATATTCGTTTGAGCAATTTTTAATGTATAACCTCAACTGACATTTGGAAATAATGCAATATGAAAATAGTATTATTTTACATGCATTTTAACATAAAGAATAAAGTGTTTCACGTTTAATAAAATTGAACAAAAAAAGAAAATTTAATAAATTATTATTCATAATATTTAGCAACTCCGTCATCATCTCCACCACCAAGACCATCGTCACTGAAATCTTTTTCACCATTATCAAAATATTCTTGACAATAATCATTATCGAATTCATCTTCATCCAATTCATCAATTTCACCATCTTGATTAGCATCACCATTCCATCGAGCATCTTCTGAGTTTGCATCTTCATCTTCGCTATTATTAACGTCTATTTTCTCTAAATCTTCTATGATTATAATAGAAACCGAAATAATGTAGGTAAAAAAATGTAGGTAACTGAATTGATGATATTATTTTCGACGCATACATTATTCAATAATTTAGCTTAACCATTTTGTAGTAACTCTAACCTGTGTACTGTTGCTTAATTATTTGAATTTATGAATGACTATCTCAACATATAAGTTATATTTACATTGATCCACAGATGAACAATGTCATGATTAGTAGTTAAAAGACTAGAGTTTCTACCGGTCGGAAACGAGTTCAAACACAGCTCCATCTGTTTTGGGTTTAAGCAGTAGGATAACGTGTGGATCAAATTTGGGTATATGAAGTTTGAACCTAGTACATGGGTAAATTAAAAAAAAATTATAGAATGAAGAATTATCGCATACTAACAGGTCCGTATGTCATTCTACCACTACAGACTATATAATAACACTTGGTTAGAGAGCTATCTAGTAAAGAGATAATCCAGTGTAGTATGATAAGTGGTGGCAGACAAAAGTGACATCGGCAGCTCAGTTAACTACAAAGAGAGACAATTGTTAAGCAAATATCCAAATTACTGCAAAAATTGTATCAATCACACATTCAAACATACCTCTGAAATATAATAAATGTAGAATTTGAAGCTCACAATGAATAACCGTAAATTGAAAAAATGTAACTAACTAACTATTTTAGCAATAACTTTATCCTTGTAAATAAATATCGAGTTACTCAGAAAAATATAACGTACCATCATTTTCTGGGAGGATTTCAGTAACTTGTTGGATGAAACGGTCAGTTACAACTTGATCAATAACGCTATAATGCTGCTTACTACGTTGAGAAGCTAATCTCGATTTTCGCGTAGCACGCCCATTACCTTTCAGGTTGGTTCGGGTTCGGGAAAGCAGTTCTTTTGGATAGCTAAAGACAAACGAAGCCGAAGAACGACAGGTATATCATAAAAGTAAGCTAGATATTACTTGTTTACATGTTTATTTTCAGGAAATTGAAAAGTTTACAAAGAAGTAATGTACCACAGGAGGTATTATTACAAAGATTAAGGGAATAAAATATGGTTGCTTTCTCAAATTCAAATAACGAAACAACAAAAACATCTCCAGAACATAATGAATCGAGAGCAGTTCGAAGTTTTCCATTAGGCTACAACAAAATAATAGCTTTAGATCCTTCGAAATATTATATATATTTGTTTCCGTTACTAAGTTACCTGAATATTAGCTACTGAATATTCTCGGATACAAAAAGGATTGTCTTTCAAAGAATCTAAGTTTTCGAAATTAAATGTCTTTGTAACTCAGTAACACATCACTGCCTAGACGTAAAACACAAGGTAGACGTAATGAACATACTCAAAGTAATAAATAAAAAATGTAGCTCTGCTTTACGAAGATTTGCCCTTACACAGTGAAATCCGCCCTCATACTCGTAACAGCATACGAGACCAAATTTGTCACAGGCAAATCCTTCCTAAACCCTCTAACATCTCTCTGGTCTCCGCGACTAATCCTTCTCACATCCGTTTATCACACCGAACCGCTAATGCAAACGACTCAAATTAACAAAAGGGTATCCCTGGTCTCTTGAAACCCCGTACTAAACTACATGTTGCAGCCTTTAACGTACGGACATAGTGTAAAATAGGACAACAAGCTTCCTTAGCTAGGAATCGAGAATCTCGCGCCATAGATATATGCTGCATCTCCAAAACGCGGAAACAGGATTTCAGTAGCATCATTCATTTGACCTCATCATGTCAAAATAATGAACAAGATCTTCACGTATCTGGAAACCCTGATGCTGCTTACAGTGGTATCGACGATGTAGGTATAGCACTGAATCCTGGCAAAACCAGCTCCCTTGAACTGGATCCCAATAGACAGTTGCTTCTGCACTGTCCGACTAAACGGGACAGTAAGGACTCGGTTAGATAGGGACAATCCGTAGACTCTTCGTCGTATCTCAACACACTCCCATTGACTGCAGTTCAAACGATGTAAAAGATGAGTTTTACAGAAAACTTTCGGACCTCCTCCAAAAAGTTAGGCCCTCTGATGTAGTAATAATGGATGGTGACTTTAATGCTCAAGTAGGTAAACTAAGTGAAAAGGGCAGACAAATGGGTGGATCTTATGTTATTGCTGATCAAATATCAGGTAATGGCGACCGTTTGCTGCAGATATGCTCAGATAACTGCCTACGTCCAGAAAAAACTAACTTTAAGAACAAGGAAAAAATTATTTAACATGGTAACCTCCATAGACTGTCTCAGCCATGGATCCCAATAGAAAACATCGTTATCAGCCATTGATGAAGAGTCACATATGAAGACTGGAATTCGTTCTAAAGTACATAGCTAGAATCAAATCATGCTCTAGTGCGGATGAGTACTTGCGTGCTACTGACTGCAAGTAGGAAAGACAGAGTAAGGAAACCTCTTAAGGTTCAATCGAATGATAAAACAGCTAACAATACATTTCAGGAACAACTAGAAAAACAGTTCAACGGCCGGCTTGGAACAGTAATTAGAAAGCCGCCGAACCAGCAGTGATATTTAATAGTAAGGTAAATCATAGAGTTAGGGAGAAGTCGTGGATCTCAGTAGCATCTACCGAAGTGATTGATGCTCAGAAAATCAGCTCATCTGGATCTGAACATGACGAAGAGCGGAATCAGATTAAGCGCAAGCTGATAGAAAGCCTACGCAATGATCGCGAGCAGTGGTGGGTTGTGAAAGCAAGAGGGATGGAATAGGCAGAGGCGATAAGCAACAGTAGACAACTGTTCCGCCTTGTCAAGGAAACTGGTACTAGGAATCCATCTGTTGGCGAAACAATATCAACAAAGGATGTGCTCATTGTTCACTCTCAATCCAGGAGATTGGATCGATGGGCAGAACACTCCAGGGATAAGTTCGACTGGCCTTCAACCACATCGGTTGCCCACGATCTCCAGTCAACATGAATGGCAAGTCGGTATAGGTCCTCTGAGTCTTTATGAAGTTGAGGAAGCGAAAGGAAATCCGAAGTGAGGACGAGCGGCAGGGCCTGATAGGCTCACCCCTGAGATTTGTAAGGATGGTGGTCCAGTTTTAGCAGCTACATTGACTCAGATCTTACACAGAAAATACTTTAACGCCTAATTAGAGCTCGTGAATAGCAGACTAGAAAAAACCAGGCTGGTTTTAGATCTGGACGTGGCTGTTACACGAAATATTCTCTCTTCGTCAGGTCCTGGAACATAGACACATATTTCGACGTCCCACCATAGTTATATTCCTTGACATTTAAGAGGCACTTGACTCTGTCTATCGTGAGGTTCTATGACAGTGCCTGTCGTTAAAAGGTCTACCGGAAAATTACATTGACCTTATATACAAGCTCTCTACTCGAACACTGTTGGTCAAGTGAGAGCTTATGGCGAACTGTCATCGGAATTCTTTACTTCAAGAGGTGTTCTTCAAGGTTGCCCACTTTTAACACTTTCTCCATTCTTGTTTAACCTCGTCATTGGCATGCTTCTGGAGAAGACGCCGTCATCGTCTGACTTTTCAAGAGTTGACCTGCTACCAGGAGACACGCTTGTTGACTTACAATATGCCAACGACATAGTTCTACTTAGTGAAGACGCTGACAAAATGCAGAGTCTTCTGACCACCATAAGCAACAATGCAAGCATGTTCAAGATGCGGTTTTCCCCTTCGAAAAGAGAAACGTGGCTTTAAGATCGGCTTGCATCGGAACCTGAGCTAGTGAGTGCGAGTGAAGTAGTCGAGCGTGTAGACCGCCTCACTTATCTTCGCAGTCTCAGCAGTGCTGATGGCCTGGTGTGTGATGAAATCTCAGCACGGATACAGAAGGTTCGATTGGCTTTTGCCAACTTGCGTCACCTATGGCGTAGGAGAGATATCCGTTCGCTAACCAAAGCACGAGTGTACTGCGTAGCAGTTCGCTCCATCGTACTATATGGGTGCGAAGAAAGGCCAGTAAGAGTAAAGGACATTCGTAGGTTATTAGTTTTCGATCATAGATTTCTCCGAAGCATTGCTCGTGTATCGCCACCTGAATTCCAGTAAACGTTGATATTCTCAGTGAGACTTAAACCTAACACTGCTTGTTTCAAACATTGTGCTACAAAGTTATGAGGAAAACTGATACTAAAAGTATCGTCTTTTGTCATTGGTATTTGAAATGTTCCGTTTTCAATCTATAGTTATAAGGATTTAGTAAAATTAATCAATGTCCTGAACAATCTATTTCTAGAAAAAAATTTATCTAACTCCAACTTCTAATATTACTCTTTGCCAATTTTACGAAGACACTGAAGGGCTTCTATATATTAGGGGGTTAGTTTGATGAACAGAAAACTTACAAATCATCAGGCTCTTTTATGTTCACGTCTTCGTCAGACCACTGATTAATTTCATGAGAGACTAAAAGATGTAATAGAGATACCGTGTTTTGCGATTTGTTTTTGAGATTAAAGCTGTTATTGGATATTGAAGAAGAAATATTGATCCCTTCTGATAGCTCTGGGACTGGGTGATAAAATGGACCAGAACGAAATGCAGCTTCGATTTTCGCCGTCAGTTCAAACTAAAGTCATAGAATAACAAAATAATTTGTATGTAACACTCCCTATATATTTTACAATACAGTATAATGAAGGTCTTACATAACTAAAATACTATGCTTACACAAATAAACATGCATATATTTGCACAGAAAGTTTCAACTTTCAAATCAGATTTTGCTGTGTCCAATCAGTTTTCATTAATACCTAGTAAACAAACGCTAAATCATTCTATGTAGTGAGAATCACTCATATTCCTACTTTTAATTTAGATCATGAGACATTTAAGTACCTAATTTAGTCAGTTAAAGCATCAAACGGCTGACTTCTGTTGCTAAAGAAGGTGTAAGCCTGAATCCTAATGTTGCATCAAATCTTCCTAAGTCAGTCAACCAGTGACAACGTAGATTTTCGTAAGTATGTACATAAGTTCAGGTTGCCATACCACATTAGCGCAGAGACGTAGATGTCAGTTCAAATCCCATAGTGGTAGCGATAGAAGAAGTATTAGCAGTAATAGAGAAGATTAGGGTTCGAATATATGATGGTTACTGTTTATTTACCGAGTAATAATTATTGTTAAGCATATAAGAAAAACCTAACCTACTATACAAGTCCACTAAACACGTATGATTTCTTTGTCACCCCAGTAACCGAGTTGAACATGTATTGCTTGAACAACGTTAGAATAACATTATTAGCAGATCACGATAAATTCATAGTAACTTTTTTGCTTTCTGTTCAGCTACATAAGTTTTAATCTTTCGAAATGTTAATATAGTTAGAATTTCGGGAAACGTATTATTTGTCAGTGAGAAGTAAGTTATTTAGAATTTAGCAAATTTAAAAAATTACAGTTTTTATTTGGAGTGGTGGCTCTACTTTATTGAAGAGAATTTTATTACACTATACAAAAGTGTGAGAAGTTATGGATGGATGTTTTATTTTGAGTGATTTAATCATAGTTAAGTGATTGTGATCATAATTAATTGAAGGATAAAGACGAACCTATTAGTTATCACACTGTCTACTTCTGTTGCTAAAGCAGATTTAAGCCTAAATCCTACTGTTACCTCAGATCTTCCTAAGTCAGTCAGCCAGTTATAACGTAGATTTTCGTACGTATGTACATAAGTTCAGGTTGCCATACCACATTAGCACAGAGATGCAATTGTCAGTTCAAATCCCAAAGTAGTAGAGATTGTAGAAATATTAGCGGTGTTTTAGAAGCTTAGAGTTCGGAGAAGTTATTCAAGAAGTATAGTTCAGGGAAATAAATCTAGAAAGAGAAAGATAGAGATTAAGAGGAATTAAGAAGATTAGAATTTCAAAGAGAACACAAAGAGTGGATCCACCTGTACCATTGCAAACGATTTAGAGCTGTTGTTCAAGGTCTCCAACTATCGGTTAATATGGTCTCGCAAAACCCAACCAGGTAGTCTATACTTACCAACATGACACAATCTAGTTTTCATCGACTTCGTGGATTTGTGCCATGTTTTTATTTGGCCACCCCTTGCATACTTCCGACCTACTCCTACACTGTAAACCATCGCTGGCCGAGGTAGTCAGTGGTTGACTGTTCGTAACACATGTCCCAACTACGTCAACTGATGAAGTTTCACTACTTCATCAATTGATATGCCATCCCTAGCTATTACTGGTTTCCTAATGACAGCATTGCTTACTCGCTGGTCAAGCGATACACGAGCAATGCTTTGGAGAAATCTATGATCGAAAACTAATAACCTACGAATGTCCTTTACTCTTACTGGCCTTTTTTCGCACCCATATAGTACGATGGAGCGAACTGCTACGCAGTACACTCGTGCTTTGGTTAGCGAACGGATATCTCGCCTACGCCATAGGTGACGCAAGTTGGCAAAAGCCAATCGAACCTTCTGTATCCGTGCTGAGATTTCATCACACACCAGGCCATCAGCACTGCTGAGACTGCGAAGATAAGTGAAGCGGTCTACACGCTCGACTACTTCACTCGCACTCACTAGCTCAGGTTCCAATGCAAGCCGATCTTAAAGCCACGTTTCTCTTTTCGAAGGGGAAAACCGCATCTTGAACATGCTTGCATTGTTGCTTATGGTGGTCAGAAGACTCTGCATTTTGTCAGCGTCTTCACTAAGTAGAACTATGTCGTTGGCATATTGTAAGTCAACAAGCGTGTCTCCTGGTAGCAGGTCAACTCTTGAAAAGTCAGACGATGACGGCGTCTTCTCCAGAAGCATGCCAATGACGAGGTTAAACAAGAATGGAGAAAGTGTTAAAAGTGGGCAACCTTGAAGAACACCTCTTGAAGTAAAGAATTCCGATGACAGTTCGCCATAAGCCTCTCACTTGACCAACAGTGTTCGAGTAGAGAGCTTGTATATAAGGTCAATGTAATTTTCCGGTAGACCTTTTAACGACAGGCACTGTCATAGAACCTCACGATAGACAGAGTCAAGTGCCTCTTAAATGTCAAGGAATATAACTATGGTGGGACGTCGAAATATGTGTCTATGTTCCAGGACCTGACGAAGAGAGAATATTTCGTGTAACAGCCACGTCCAGATCTAAAACCAGCCTGGTTTTTTCTAGTCTGCTATTCACGAGCTCTAATTAGGCGTTAAAGTATTTTCTGTGTAAGATCTGAGTCAATGTAGCTGCTAAAACTGGACCACCATCCTTACAAATCTCAGGGGTGAGCCTATCAGGCCCTGCCGCTCGTCCTCACTTCGGATTTCCTTTCGCTTCCTCAACTTCATAAAGACTCAGAGGACCTATACCGACTTGCCATTCATGTTGACTGGAGATCGTGGGCAACCGATGTGGTTGAAGGCCAGTCGAACTTATCCCTGGAGTGTTCTGCCCATCGATCCAATCTCCTGGATTGAGAGTGAACAATGAGCACATCCTTTGTTGATATTGTTTCGCCAACAGATGGATTCCTAGTACCAGTTTCCTTGACAAGGCGGAACAGTTGTCTACTGTTGCTTATCGCCTCTGCCTATTCCATCCCTCTTGCTTTCACAACCCACCACTGCTCGCAATCATTGCGTAGGCTTTCTATCAGCTTGCGCTTAATCTGATTCCGCTCTTCGTCATGTTCAGATCCAGATGAGCTGATTTTCTGAGCATCAATCACTTCGGTAGATGCTACTGAGAGCCACGACTTCTCCCTAACTCTATGATTTACCTTACTATTAAATATCACTGCTGGTTCGGCGGCTTTCTAAATACGGTTCCAAGTTGCCTCAGAGTGGGCAGATGTTACTTCCCGGCTGCCCACACCGTGGAAGCGAAGAAAAGGTAGCAGCTACGGTCAGGTTACTAATTAACGCTAGACATTTTCAATTGACAAAGAATTTCAGGCTTTCTTCGGAAATTTGTTATGCAGTCGAAGTATTGGATTTGTAACCGTATTTACAACTATGTTCTTCAAGCAAGCAACCAAACTAATCAAACAAAATTGGAATTCGAGATTCGTGACAGTAAGATGAACATAACACACATCTCAATTATTTTTTTGATGGATGATTGCATTCTTTCTCCGTCTGTTCTCTAAACTCAATGAGGTTCTTATGATGGCCCCATAAACTACTTATAACTTTTCCATCTATTTTAATTTTAAATGCCGTATCTATCGTGTACAGTAAACTTGGTTTTTCACTTATTTGTAGAGATGTCTCATATAATATATCACAGCCTGGTACATTCCCATCGGAAAATCATTTACCACAAACCAACTCCAATGGATTCAACTGAACGAGTACTACAAGCAGTTGACCAAACTAATCACTTTACTCTCTAATGCTACACTATATGGTAGCGCAGGTCATCAATAGGTAAAATACCAATTTTTTGATTATTCAGCACTCTATCAGTCCGCGTGGAAAACTGACAGTGACTGTCTAAATAAACCAATGCTTTGAAACCTGTGAAAAAAATAGTGCGCACTCAAGCACAAGTCTGACAGTGGCCTTGATTTAAGAGATGTTTTTTTTTCGTACTGGGTGACACAACTTAGTTTGAAGATAGTGAATCAGACCAATAGCGACACCTAAACTTGCTTCCTCAAGTCATAATATTCAAATTATCAAAACAAACTTCGTGATAATTTGGAGACAGATCAATTTCTTATCCATAGATAGAAAAACCAGTTAGGTGATCTCAGAATCAATCATTTACAGTAGTTGTAATATAAATGGAGAATAAAGCGTACATGATGTCACAGGATTTTTTAATGCTTTCACTACTGATTTTAATCATTTTAACGTTAAAAAAGAGAGTTTTTAGGTCATAACATAACTATCGTAGAACATTAATGGAAGCAAGGTTGCTTATTCTTTGGAACTACTAGCTATAATCTTACGAATGAGTAGGCGAACTATCATTCACTAACAACAATGATGACTATGACTTTATGAATAACTGAGTTGTTGCTACAAATTTATATATTGCTAAGAAAATACAGCTATGTGGCAATGAGAATAAAAACCAAAAACGAGCTATTTACAGATCGAAAATAAACTGCTTCTAATATATTCTGATAAGTGAACACAAATATCTTGTTCGTCAAATTACTAAACGTTTTATAACTACACGTAAAAATATGAAAACTAAGTGAAACAGCAATTTCATACATACCAAATTCATCTGCAGACTATCGATTTCGTCTTTTATTAATTCTGAGTTGCTGCTAGCACTGAAATCGCTTAACGATGAACTAATAGTAACTTTAGGGGCGGAGAAAGGAATCAAACGACTGACCTCAAACTTAGGGTCAGGTTTTATAGGAACCGAGTGAGGATCAAATAGACGGCGTTTTACACCATCACGAAGGCCTGATAAACTTGGACCACCACCGCGTCGGCGACCTCGATTCATGCTGAAAAATATATACAGCAAGCAACTTACAACAGACAAAATGGAAAATTTCAGAAAAATAACCTATTCCAAATGTTATTATTTACACAATTATATACAAAGCATTTAAAGTTCATTTATGCTTATCACAGGCTTTTTTAACTAAAGACTGTGTGCGAGCAGCTCGTTCTTTCTGAAGTTCTTTACGCCTGCGCTTCTTTTCCAATCTGGCTTGATGAATTTGTATGAGATCTGAGTCACCATCCACATTACTGTATATTAGCTTTGGATTGTCTGAGAGTTTGGAAAAGCGCCGGTCAGCTGAGGCTTCGTTGAACTCTGCAATTATGTTTTCAGAACGCAACGAAGCTTTTGATACGTTTTCAGTATATTTAGGTTCGACTATTTGAGGTAATTTCTGGTTGATCCCCAGATGTTCTTGCACTTTGTTGTACAGATTTGCAGAAATAAAATATCCATGCATGTAAGCTCTTAGAAACTGAGTTCCAATAAGCTCTGACATCCCCAAATCTGTTAATTGTTGACGGGTGATGAATTTATAACCGTCATACATAGTTGTGACATCTGGTTCGCACTCTACCACAACACTGTCTAGATAACTGCACCAAAATGGCGCTTCTCCAAGCAGTGGAATAAAATATGTAGAAATCTTGGGGGACTCAGATGCGAACATGAGTAATCCACTATTAGGAAAGTGATACATAGAATTACAGTCGGAAGGACCGATATTGAAACCAACAAATATTTTACCAGTATCCATTGACCATATTTTACAACAGTAGCGCAATGCTGTTATTACTTTGTCATCATGAAAATGAATGGATTTGACAGGCTCCCTGTATTCCGTGTCCCGGACATGCCACGGTTTACGGTTTTGACGAAGGTCATAAATGTATACCATCCCATCTCCTGTGCCTATTGCGACGTTGAGTGAATCTTTAAATGACATGCAAGTGACAGCAGTTGAACGCCAGCTATTCTGTATATCTTCCGGAGCAGGTGCATATTCACACACGTTTAGACCAAAGACATGCTCAGAAGCCCTAGTATCCCAACCATCAACACAACCTACAGATGATGCACCAAGTAACAAACCGTAATTCCTCTCGAGGCTACATGCAGTAAATCCATGATTAGTGTTTTCCAGACGTTGTGAGACTAGAGACGTTTTAAAGCGACCCTCGGACAAGTCCATTCGATATATGTGGTTGCGTGACGATGCGACGAAAATATCACATGTGTAAGGACAGTAATCTAAATCCACACCTTGTTTTGGAACTCTAAACTTGAAGTGGTGTCCACCGGCTGCATGGACCTCAATCCATCTTTCATCCTCCAGTAAGGCAAACTTGGAATAGTTATCACTGAGGCATACAATTTTGTACGGCATGCAGTCCAGACATCGGTCAAACTTCATAGAAAGATTTGACAGCTCGTAGCATTTGACCCTGGGTTTATAACGTCCAAGGGCAAACAAGTACTGACCATCTGGCGAGCAAGTCAAATAAGTGGTTGAATCGGGCATTTCTAGTTCCTGAATAAGCTCAATACGCCGACTTAATTCCATATCTGACTTCTTTTTACGTTTTTCAGATTTCGACGCCCATTCTGGAAGGGAGCGATTAGCTGTCAGATTGTAAACTTTCACGCCATTGATTTTGACAACATTCATGACCTCGACTAGTTACGACATATGTATAATTACCGCCATCATATTGCAGATCTATGCAATATTCAATATCATTTTCACGAGCTAGTATAAACCACTTAATTTCTTTGCGCTCGATTCTTGTTCTTTCGGTAAGGTTCCAGGTGTTCGGTAATGTCCAATGAATGGAGGTCTTGCCACTCGACTGCACTAATTCCAGTCAGTTGACAGTTGTTTGTGAGTTTATATGTCCCATGATTTCAATGAATACGTTTGTTTCAATGCATTTGGGTTTCTGGATACCAGAGGCTATCACGGTACCGTGTCCAACAACAGTAGGTCACTGATGCCTTCAGGTAGGAACCTATAGGCTTAGGGTCCAAAGCCTGGATGTTTTTCTGTTCCAGTCTTTTCCTGAACTTTTTTGAATATGTCTTCCAAACTGACTCCTGAAAGGCAATGTTGGTAAGCTCAGTCGAGATTGGTCTAGTGATTTTCGCTTTATCAATACCCGAATATTTGTTTAGTCAGCCAAAAACCGGTCACACAGACTGACTTGCACGGAACGTCGGAGGAGCGATCAATTTCAAACAGGCCTACCAGGAATTAAAACTCTAGAAAAAAGGTTTATTCTCTGCCCCAATCTCCTATTTGCGGCCTTCGTAAGATGCCTTTAAAACCTAACGGTAGGACTCGGTCTCCTCCTAATGTCAAAACAACGACAACAACTATGCAGGATCTCACAGTTTACATAACACCAGTCTTCGCAACAGAAGAAACCAAAGGCTGATTACAGTGATAAGTCACACACATAAGTCACACACACACAGTGATAAGTCACATATCAGAGATTCAAGAAGAACGAAAGCTATTGGACCAGAACTCACTTTAAACATTCGACTTGATTGATCAGCTAATTCCTCGAGGTGTCTATTAGGTTACCGTAGTGAAAGGCTTGAATGCCAAACGCATTCTGAAGAAAATCGATTCATGTTGTCATAAGTAGTAATTAAATGTTCACACGAAAAGAATCAAGCACCAAAGGAAGGATGTAATCAGGAGCTATTGTTCGTGGGAAATTAACGCTCAATGACCTCAAAAAGGTGAGAACCCGGGATTAATTGAAACTAAGCGGAAGTGCTCGCAAGTAGAGTGTAAGAACTGCAAACTGTGAGGTAATGGGGCTTAGACAGAGAATGATACCGAAACAATCTAGGGCGTAGATAGTGGTCGACGAACAGGTTTTCTGGTTCTTAATAAAATACCCATAGCTTGCTTAACAAGAAAACGGAACTAGTTGTTTAAATGGACTCTACCAGTCCGGATCCTAATGTTTTGACAGAAACTTGGGTGACGTAACCTGATTTGAAAATTTTATACAAATAAGAGCTGACAGAACCCATCAGCGCTAAGAAGGAAAAAGTAGCTCGAGCTATCAAAATTACTGTCCTTTTTTGTTGTTATGGGCAGCATATCCCATGAAAGTCGATTCGTCAGTTACCCCTTGAAATATAAGGGACAACAATTGCTCACTGGTTTGGTCCAGCACATGCCGAACTGTAAGATGTAGGGAAGATACTGAAAACCCTTTGCAAAGTATTATTGCACCTTGCTGTTGTTTTTTTCTTTTCACCCTGTTTCATAGCTTTAGTAACATTTAGGTTCTTCAGCCTTCTTTTTTCAAATCTACAGTATTTGGCTTCGGTTAATATTCGCAATCACAATTACTTTGTCCGTTGCTTGATGCCAAACCATTGATAGTAAAGACATGTCTGAACAAAATCAAGGTTACGGCATGTTTCGTTCGATGTAAGTTGACCTTCGACTACCTTCAGGGATCACTTACTGCTTGTAGGCATATATTTGAGTTTATCTCACTAGGAATATTTTTTTGATACTGAAGCCAGATTAGGATTCGGAAAAAAACATAAAAGAAGTCCTACGTTCAACATCATCAGTATATTGGATGATAGAACCAGAATATTCCATCAAAACTACTAGGAAAGTGTTCAGAAATTTCTATTCAACATCTACAACGCTACGCATCATTTGGACTATATTATAGCGAACTGCAGCTATGTACCGCGAAATAAGTAAATTAAATCCCTTGAAAGCAAGAAGTCAGAAGGCCAGCCGTGATTGGATTTAGAAGTATATTTGTTGGTGATCTCGTGATATCGACAGAATATCAAGATCAAAACAAATGTTACGGGCGAGACTACCGAGGAAACGTGAGCAATGTCAGAGTCAAGAGGACAATAATTATTGGTACAAATAAATAAAGGAGTACAGTAAAACAATGACGAGTGTTTACATTAAACCAAACGAGTTATCTTCATAAAAGTAGAGTCACCACAATACCAAAAAATACGAAAAGCTCCTCACCCTGGTTCAGTCAAAGAACAAGAATGCGGAAGAGATGTAGAATACTTGGCAATGACGAGACCAAATCCCAATATCAGAGTGCCTGAAGTATTTGTGTCTCGACTTGTCGCAAGTCCAAAAATTTTATGAAGAAAAGCCTATCAATGGGCCGATAGAATCAGTAGAACGTAGCCCCTAAGGTTCTACTGGCGGAGTTCTTACAACTTTACACCGACCAAAAGACCAAGAGAAAGGAACTCATATCCGCTATTTTCAAATAACATATAATCATGTCAGAAAGCTTTGTTTCGTTCCTGATACGATGAAAACTGAAATGCAGTCATACAGCTATATAAGACAGAATAGGTTCATGCCAAGTTCCATATGTGGTACCCATTCATAATCTATGGGAACCCCACTGAGACGGAGTCATTTTAGTCAGGTTGTTTGTGGTGATTTCTCATCGGGAATCGCATCTTAATCATGGGTGATTGTTACGTTTGATCTTGCAGATATGAAAATCTGTAAAGAAGAGGTTTTCCTCAGCGTAAAGACTTTAAGCTGGTCTGCACTGATGCTGTTTTTAATCCTGCTCTTGTTGTCCACAAAGTATTCAGATTTACGATGAAAAACTTTAGTTTGAATGCCCCTTGATTATAAAACTTCTTTTTAACTCGATTCATTACATATAGTTTCATTCCTATGGACCTAAGCAACAAAATACAAATAATCTCAATGTATCTAGAAACTTGACAAAAAACATGCTACAACTTGGATTTGAAGGACGCAATATGATATTGCATTATACTGTTAGATGAGATTAATGCACAATATGGAATATTCATTTGTCAGATAGATGCATTTACTCTTCACTACATCTGATACACGTTGAATTTTCATATGGGGATCTATAATGTGGTCTTTGGTTCTGTTGGGGACATCAGATCCCCAGAGCTCTCTTGATGTCTGAATTTTGGATTTTACTCATCGGTTTATCAGTTGAGCTTGAGATCACAGATATTTTATTCGTCAAATGAGTTCAACAAAACTCTCACTATTTCTTGAATGTTCTGCATTACGGAATTGAATTTAAAAATATCAATGCATTCTTCTAACCCTTCTAAATTACTTGGATCTACTGTTTCAATAGCAGTCATTAAACGTCGAACTAAATTTTCTGCTAAACTATAACACTTAGGAATTTTTGAATATGTAAATAGAGGGCGCACTCGACGCCACTAAACCAGCTGTTTAAATCTTTTTCTGTGAAATGAGCTACATTGTCAGTTACTAATACACTGGATATTCCGGCGCGACAAATTATCTCGTTCATTGTTCTTTGAATAGACTTTCCGCTGGGTTTGTTTTTAAGTACTTCTTGCGGCCATTTGGAATATGGATCGAAAATAACTAATGTGTAATATGAGTCTAGAAATGGTTTACAGGAATCTTTATCAATACGTTTCCGTGACTCATAATAGGTGTGCTAAGGATTTCAATGACAAGTGGTGAGTATCAATCACTCACATATTAATTTCATCTCCGGATCATGGCTACCAATGATCGATGGAATAACTTAGTCGACTAATAAATAAATTTCAACGCCTATTGGTCGGTTAAAATAGGAATTTCACACTAATCAATTATTTATGCGGTCTTCTCACTGCTCATACCGTAAATAAAGTCAGTGGAAGGCAGAAAGCAGCAAAGTACCCTGACGAACCTTATACATCCGATGATGACGCGCTGATAGGCAATATCCCACGGTTACATGCATTAATCTGAATAGAGAAGTCAGATACGGGTTTGAAATAATCTAACGAAATACAAATAATCCCGACATTTCTGGAACTTCAACAGGCAAAAAACAAGATCTTTGATTTGAAGTACCCAGTTCAAAAGTGCATTTTATCATTATCTCAGATTCGGACGCAACATAAAATATTTGATTTTATATAAAATGTATTTAGTGTTTACCAAAATCCTTTTTGAGTGACGGCAGTAATAAAAATCAGAAAAAGGTGAATTCCTTTGAAGCATTCTTTGATTCAAAGCTACACCAAAATGAGAAGGTGGAAATAGAAGTGGGGAGTGCCAACTCCATTTGATGAAGCGTGACTCGCTATTAATGGGCAAAAAAATATAATTGAAAACAAATATAAGACTGAGACATAAATAAAGGTAGTGATATACGTGCACAGTCGCACGAAAACATTAAAGGTTTTAAATGAGTGACTGATAACATCAATTCTTGAGAGGGAAAGAACAAGCTAATTAGTTTCGCTGAAAATGAACTAGAACTAGACACCACAGACCGCTTGGAACCGTTTACAGAATGACCTGAATGCATAAAACGAAAATACATAGCTATTCAGCTCTTGAAACTATTTGCTTATAACCTCATAGTATTATTACGGATAAATGTTCAGATGCACCAGATTTGAATAACACGTTCTGGAGGCGGCTTTTCAAATCACCCGTTACCAGGTCCTTGTTTTATTGTCTAGGCTAACTCCGAAGTGTAGAATTTGTTTTTCATCTTTCTTTTCTTCTACAGAATAACTAGTCTAATTAGTTTCTTTTCAGTGCAGTTGCTCACACCAAATATTTTATCCGAGTTTGTGGTAGCCAATGAATATCATGTTCAGGTCAACAATCAGCTTATAAACTTGTTAGTCGCATTACAAACTCATTTATGAGGTTGTAATTCATGAATGTTCTTTTAGCTATGGTAGATTAACATTTTAGTTCTATGTTTGGTCGAGAAGGGAAGGTCGGTGTGACCTATTCATCTTTTAAAATTTCTTGAGGTCAATCGTACGTCTTATCGATAAGCTCGAAATAATAGGTAGCAAGTCCTTTTCAGTAGACTGGTTAACTTCACACCTAAATAATTGACGTTTTGGGGTTTTGTTCAGCTCTAATTCACTCAGGATACAGGATGTCCCTATGGAGTCTTTCAGGGTTCAATACTAAAACTGCTCTTAATTTAGGTAACTAAACATCCTTCCTGAGTCATTACTTCTTGCCAAGGTAATAAGCTGGCTCCTTAAGAGCACTTAACTCGACTTAAAGTTGGTCGAATAATAACATACTTGATTTTAATACTTCAAAGATCAAGGAAGTCCTCCTGAAACATGCTGCAGACTTTGTATACGACCTAGGTAGCTCTCCTCTAGAGGTGTCCGAAGTTAAAGATATCTAAGAGTCATGGTACCTTACGATGTAAAAGTCTGATTCCACTTGTACAAACAATTCGTTGCGAACATATCTTGCACTAGTCAAGTTAAAACGTAATTTTGGTCGATTCGGTCGTAGAACATTCCTTTTAATCTTTAACAGCTTTATTCGGCTGCATTTACAATGTAGGTCCTCACCGTGGAAATGTGGTATCTCCTCCCTCACTCCTAAAGGACAAGAATATAGTAGAATATACCCTCAGGCATTCACGTAACCAGTCCGAGGACTCAGGTTCATCCATTATAGTATAGGCACCTCAGAGGTGACCCGGTGACTCAGCATTCTAAACTTTTATGAGCATCCCCTAAAGCTCTTAATTAAGCCCAGTCTCAATACAAACCTTGGGGGAAGAACTCAAAAACTAGAGGCCTAGCACAATGAAATGGACTAGACATATCTACTTTTTACGAGTAGTAAAATTCTGGAATTCTTTGCCGATTGAGGTGATAAAAGCGACTTTACATGAGTCCTTCAAGAAGACACGATATAGTATTTCGGTATAGTTTACTAACATTTTTCTATTACTCGTTCAATATGCCTAGGTTCCTATCTGGAGGCATCGGTCATCCATTGCTACCAGACGCAAAAGCGTGACAAGCAAAAACCTCTACTTCATCCACAACCATTTATACTAGGGATAAAAATGGTTATAAATTAGTCAGGAATTAGGAATAGGATTCGGAGCTGGATGGAAACGTTAGGAATCAGAGTTGCGGTTTCATCACGAACTTAAATCAGCTATAATGTCAAAACTTTACTTAACCATGCAGCTGGATAAATTTTGCACAAAAATCCGAGATTTCCATTTCAATGTAATTGGTTCTTCCAAAAATTAGTTTCTCTCTGTCAACAGTTAAACTGTCGTCAGACCTAGTCTACATTTCTAACTAACTTGGTTCATTTACAGGCAGTTCATACTGCAATGCCATTCACACGGAGAACATCTAATCGGGCTTGCAAAGAATTAGCAATGGCTCGGATTGTTGCCTGTTTAAACTCACCACAAGAACTTGGACTTGACCTAAAATATAACAAAGTTTTATCTTCGAAATTTGATTCCTGTCTAAGATCTCGAAGTGTGACGCGCTCAGATACCTATAAGTCCCCAGGTAATTCCTCTTTTACCGTCTCATTGCTTTTAGTTAAGAAATTGTCAGAGACTTACCGATGTTCACCTCAAAAAACCCCGAAGTCACTTTTCAATACAAGCTGTTTGATTAAAAGTAAGCCGTTGTATAGTTTGTTAGTTACAGTTGAAAATGTTAACTGTTTCGATTAAAATAACATTAAAGAAAGATCGTAACAGGGTGCAGTAGGAATAAAAATACAATCAAGAAAGAAGGATTTAGTCCATTTCATTGTTTATAGGAAAAACAGTAGCCTCTAGTTTGGTCCCTATCTATCGACTTTTAATTCTGCTGATTTGATTTCTCTAGGACCCCTTCTAAGTTGATGGGATAGATTGCGTCCCTTAAAGTAGCAGGCAAAAAATAGGCGTCTGGTGCTGAAATCCAGTTACTAACTGTGGAGGACCAACCTAAGATAACTGGTTGTAACCCCCTAGTTTACATGTATTTCAGAGTCCCATAAAAATGAATGGCTCATGAACTTTGTTGGTTTGTGAAGCAAATTATATTCTCCACAATCGGTGGACGTATTTAACTTCAAACCAAACTATGAAGTAATCCAAAACTTTTCGCTGGTTTAAGAGTAGTATGCTTTTCGGTTCAATCTCATCTTGAGTCTTTCGTGGTAACAAAAGAGGATTTACTGCAATAGCAGAGTCCCAAAGAGCGTGCATTAACAAGAGTGAACGTCAAAAGGAAAAGTTAGTTTTCAAATCTCTATATTTATACAGTCTGCCCTCTACCTTCAATTCATTAGCCTTTACAGCTAATCAGAACAATTTTATGCATCCAGTGAAGTTTAGTTTCGACTGAAATAGAAGTAATCTACTGGTTTTAGTATCGACTTTCAATTCTAATTTTCCTAGTCGCAGTTCTATCTCGAAGAGCGAAGCCGACAAATTGTTTCAAAAAATGTTTATGGAAGTTAGTCTGTCACAAAATAAGCGGTTTGTGGGAATGAAATTCATTTTATTATCCGTGATAATCACCATAAAGAAAATGATTTTTGTTCAAAGAACATGTTTAGAATGAAAAGAAACCATCAACCAAATACTTGAAATATTCTATCTACAGTAGTTCAGACAAGGTATTGCGAATGGATGTGTTCTTCGTTCATTATTTGGGGTTACAAGATAATCACGCGATCGTGGCTGCTATCTTGTCGTGGTGGTCGGGCCTGCCTACCGTGATGACCCAACCGAGCTATATTGGCTGGAACATACGTAGGTTCTATCATGTCAGGTAGGTGGATTGAAGAACAGTGAGACTAAAAGCAGCTACTCGAAGTCTGAGGACGAAGTCGTCCTGACTGTAGAGGGTTGTGACAGCAGTAAGGTGTTTCCCTCGGACAACCAGCATCTGCAGTGATGCTGCCTTCTCACAAAGAAAGGAGGGGTTAGAAAAGGTGGACCCTAACAATGTCACACCTCACCTTACCCCGCGGATTTCCATCTGCGGTGGTAAACCTATTTGAAGAGCGAAGCTAACACTTTAAAAACTTCCAATAATAAGATCATGTGTGACAGGCCTCAAGTAAATGTTTGTTTGGCTCTGCTCTCAGGTAGCCAAGGCCAACGCTAGTCCGAATTCTTTTTCAGGTTGCTCAAGAAACGCTCTTCCATGATGTGAACAGATGGAGAACTTCATCCGCCCTCATACCCGTAAAAACACAGAAGACCAACTTGTTCACGATCAAATCCTTCCTTCACTTCTCGATAATTGTATTATCTCCACGACTAACCATTCTCACATATCTTAATAATCTCGTACCGCTAATGCTAGTGATTCAAGTTGATAAGCTGCTATTCATGGTCTCCTGAAACCACGCTCTAAACTACAGGTTGAGGCTTTCAGTATTCAAACCTTGTGCTGAATGTGACAACGGGATTTCTTAGCAAGAACTCTGGAATCTCGTGCTGTTGATGTATGCTGTGTGCATACAGGATCCGAGTATAGTCATTCAATTAGTCTCACCGTCAAAATAAAGAACCGCCACGATTTACGCTTCGCATGTCTGCCGCTTCCCGTGGCTTCGCTGGTGTAGGTATAGCATTGAGTTCTAAATCAGAACTAGCTCTCTTAAACTGGATATTTTTTCTATCTCTTCACGATTTAATTTTTACTACGTTGCGCATGCTTATTTTGGTGCTCAAATAAGTAAATACATTTTTCCACATGTCTATGATTAGATTCGCACTTATCTAGTTGGACTAGAGAAGTTGAGTTTGAGTTTAGTAAAGTTTTTCAAATTCCATTCATCAGGAAAAAGATCACTTCAATGGTCTAATTGTAGTCTGTGCTCATCAATCGAATAAGTAGGTCACAGTAGATCAAAATATTTCGGACCCAAAACCTGTCTCACGCAAACCCTCTAGACTTCCGAATCATCATTCGGTGGTTTAAATATCTAACTTAATTCAATTTATTTTGAAACAACTATAAATTTATTTTCTATTTAATCATCCTTTCACTTGAATTAATTGTAGTAATTTTCTAGTTAAGGTGTCTTTACGTTATCTGTACTCGATGTCCAATCAAGCCATTTCATGATAAACTGCTAGTTATTTTTAATCTCTCACCTTTATTAATATGCCCCATTTTAATGCTCGCGGTTAATTTGTCATATTTTGTTAGCTTGTTAGTGGAACTATTTTCCTGTGATATTTAATAACCCTTTCTTGACTTACCTTCACTAATGCTCTTAGTTTTAATCGCTCCCATTTGCGACCCAGTTCTTTTTAGAGGATACAGGTAAAAGAAAAATCCTAACGATGATAACTGGTTGCGGTTAGTTTTGCTGAAATAAGGATGAGCATATTGAATTTTAAAGTGTTTGATATACCTATGCTCTCATTTCTCCATGGAACTCAACATGTTCTCTGTTCTTAAATAGATGTGATAATCATTGATTCTTTAAATTTCCTTTTCCAGGAAGAGAAACTACCTTAAGTACGAATCCTCACTAGTAGGTTATACAAATTGATTATATTTTGTTTCCATCGGGCTACAGGTCCGTACAATAATATGTTGTTCATATATGTATATATATATATATATATATATATATTAGAAGTTATCATTACGTTGTGCAAATCTTTTTTGTGGTCAAATTAAAAGTTAGGTACTCGTTATTCGTGCTGCTATATTTTATTTTTAATCAAAACTTGTGAAATTTTATCGGGTTGATTTGATTCTAGTCATATTTTGATACATACAGCTGTCAAAAGCTTTACGTTACCGGTTTGTCGACTTTTTTCGGGACGTAAAAAAATACGTTTAAGTTGGATAGTATTAATAGTTGTCTAGTCAGTCAACCCGAAATTCCGGAAGAAGAAGGAACAATATGAATTTGACTGTTTGCCAATCAGATTTATAAATAAAATGAACAAGGCTTCAATCGCAATCTATTTTAACTTTCCCACGGTTACTGATTACCAATCCCTTTGCCTCAGCATTGATATGTATGATAAGCCATTTGCGCATGTTTGTCATAACGTACTATACAAGTGGTACTCAGCTGCCATCATTTATCATCTATGATGGAATCGTGCATTGGATCGACAGTTACACCCTAATGTGTTCAGTATAATAGAAAAGAATTCAGCGAACAAGGAAGCAAACGATAGGTAATAACTCAGTAAACTTCCTGATATTCCATATTTGATGCACTTTTAATTTGCCCATCAGGGTGTATAAGGATATAATATGCTGATAGAATCTGAAAAAGCAAACAATACCTGGAGTAAAGTCAAATGAAACTTCAGATATCAGCCACACATGTTACTCCGAACCTACTAAAGGTTGTTTTCATTATACTTTTATCAACACATCCACCATATACTTCAACGTGGTTTTCTACAATAATCATAATAAGTAGCACTTTGCGCCGTCAGGTCCTAGCAGCTAGAGGCACGTTCAGATGCCAGTCAGTTACAACGTAGAACTTCGTATATAAGAACATCAGTTCAGGTTGCCATACCGCATTAGCACGGAGACACAACTGTCAGTTCCGATCCAATAGTGGTAACGATAGTAAAAGTATTAGCAGTAATGGAGAAGATAACGGTTCGAAGAAATTAATCTAGAAGTATAATTCAGTGAGACAACTTTAAAAAGAGAAAGATAGAGACGATAAAGAATTCAGAAGATTAGAATTTCAGAGGACACAAAGAGTGGATGCACCTGCGCTGTTGCTAACGATTTTGAGCTATGTTGTTCAAGGTCTCTAACTGTCGGTTAATATGGTCTCGCAAAACGCAACCAGGTAATCTACACTTACCAACATGACTCAATCTAGTTGTCATCGACTTCGTGGATTTGTGCCATGTTTTTGTTTGGCCGCCCCTAGCATTCTTCCAACCCACTCCTACACCACAAAACATAGCTAGTCGAGGCAGTCAGTGGTTGGTCATTTTACATAGTACTGGTTTCCTAATGACAGCATTGCTTACTCGCTGGTCGAGCGATACACGAGCAATGCTTCGGAGAAATCTATGATCGAAAACTAATAACCTACGAATGTCCTTTACTCTTACTGGACTTTTTTCGTATCCATATAGTACGATGGAGCGAACTGCTACGCAGTACACTCGTGCTTTGGTTAGCGAACGGATATCTCGCCTACGCCATAGGTGACGCAAGTTGGCAAAAGCCAATCGAACCTTCTGTATCCGTGAATTGAGGGTTCCAAATGATGGCTTGTCTTATGACGCAGTTGGGTGCTTTACTCAATATATGTCCTGTTTACTTTCTTTTGTGACGCTTGCTTGAATAATTCCCGGCTAATTCCTATTGCTTAGTATTCTCTGGCCACAATACACTAGACAAGTTCCAAAGAATCAAAAACACGGTGGAACAGGAAAAGATTATATTCCAAATAGCAAGGTTAAATGGAATAAGAAGGTAAAGGCGAAGGCAAAATAGATACAACGTTAGTATCTTTATAGTCTTTACATGAGAAGCTTCTGGATTGCAATTCACCTGATCGACTGGATTAGATTTTGCTAATCAGCATGCTGCTAACAACACGAGAATTTTCTGCCCTGTTCTCCAAGAATCGATCAGGCGCTGATTGGATAGGAAATTAGCCATTTAAATTTCAGTTCCATGGCTAGTAATCTTGTCTTTTATACAAGCTCATTCGAGAACATTGTATCATTGAATATCATCGATTTGTAAGCATTTTTACGTTTCGCTTTAAAAATCTAAGATTTGTTGATCACTTCATGAAATCTATCTCATATTGGTTATATGATTTAGTACTGATATAATGCTCATTTGTTTTAATCTAAATTTTTTTTTTCTAATCATAATCAGTCCAGTAGATAGCGAAGGTTCATCTGATGAAAGTTCTAGCTCGACAAGTGAATCTAGTTTCACAACATATGATTCATCAGATTCTTCTGATTTCACCTCACAACAATTCCAATACAAAAACAAATTTAAAAGTCCTTTAGTAAAGTCGTTTACTTTAAAAAGAACAACGACCAATTTATCTGTGAGTTAGATTTCAACTGTTTATTAATTTTTGAAATAATTCTATACATCTATTTGAATCATATTCACAAAATTTATTGCATGACATGTAACTGATTAACCACTAGGTTATAAGTTACATGTAGCTGGCTAAGATAATCAAGATATTTGTATTATTTATTACTGAGTAACATTAGATTACCAGTCAGTCAATATCAGCTTACAGTCTAACAAAAATGTACGCTGACCTAAGTTGTCATACTATATGAAATGAAAATAAGACGAATTGCAAATGAGATCGAAATAATATTGTAACAATAATAATAAGTACAACTGGACAATTGGAATATAGTTGGAAGAGTCAGGGTAGAAATGTATGTTGGAAGGAATACTGGAGTTCAGGATCGAGATTATGATAAGGAGTGATCTCCATTATGAATAATTCTCATCCATGTCTTTCAAAGTTTTTAAACGCTGATTGCAGTCACCTCACTGATCCTGCATCTACCAACATGCCCCAGACCGACAGTCAATGCTTTCCAACGTTATATGAACAATGTAGTGATGATAATGCTTAAACCATTAAACCGCAAAACATCAAAATTAAGAGTCTCATTTTTACTCATTAAAATGACACGGATTTAATTGAACAAGGTGGCTTCAGTTACGTTTGTCTCTGTAGCCTTTCCTTTGCTTATTCACTGATTTCTGCGTACTTCGTGACATTTTTATCGTTCATTGTACTAGTTTATATATTCCACATTTTATGTGCACGATGTTCCAAGTAGAAAAATTATCCTGTAAAAGATCATATTGAATGAGCTCTCCTTTGAAACCATCCATAAGACTAGGCTTAATTATTTATCATTCAAGCACATTTATGATTACATTTATCACATTTTTCCTGATATGTGATTCAGTGTTGTTCATTAATTATCATTTAATAGTGTTGAATATTGAATGATGTATACTATGTCTATTGTAGGCCAATAAAAGCTCTGTATCAACACATCGAAAGCGTGCTCTTAGTCAAGTGTCTGGTGATGGATTTTTACTTAATTTAAGGTAAGTTGCATCATAAAGTGCAGCTCATAGTGTTTCCGTTAGGTTTATTGTGCACACTGAGTTTGCAACCCCATTGTATTAGGAAAGGGATGAACGACTCCGTTTAATTCTAAGATTGTTTTACTGTAACTTTATGGTGTGCACTAATAGGTTGAACCTACGCGACTTGTCCTAACTTTTGGACAAGCTAGTCAATTTATTGTTTCTAGTCACTCTACACATGTCATTCGAACCTATCAATCATTCGCTTATAACCTTAGTTGTTTTTGTTTGTTGTGTGTGTGCGTTTCCTAGTTCGCTCACCACATGTCTAGCTTATTTCTGTCACTACTAAATATTTAGTCATGCCTCGTCAATGTGGTAGGCCCATTCGCCTTCGCTTCACTTTTACGCTTCTCACCCTTATGTCTGTTTGCATACTGAATGTATGGAACAAATTCATCCAAAATACTCCATTGGGTTTTTAATTGCCGCGATCACACAAATGGCGTTCGCCTAAGAATAATAAACTGAAAGATTTATTCCATCGCACATTAAATTGTTCGTACAAATCGGAATCAGATTCCGGGTCGCTAAAATTCTATCACGTTTAACAAATAACATCTCACATTTTATTGTAATGTACTTGCGAAATCAATAATAAAGTAATCCATCTGTGTAGACACGTATTTTCTGATCATAGTTTCTACGATTGTACCTTATTTAATTAAAAGCTTATTCAGTCTACATTGCATTCTGTTAATTTTTTTTATGTAGTTCTACGAATCCGGAATATGGATGGTTACCCGGTCGTGAACAAGAGTTTGAAAATATTTATACATTCATACTTAATAAACTCTCTCAAAATTCTGGCGGGTGTGTTTCTCATATTTCTTATGTTTGCGTAATACTACTTAATAAACTGTTTGTTTTCACAATCGTTAGTTATTATAGTACCTGCGACTCTTTTGAATAAAGATTTTCTGAGATTATGAATTCAATATACATAGTAAGCGCTCTGTTTAAGTAATATGAGCATTTAAGTTCTCAATGCTACCTGGTCAAGATCCTGAATCCATTACATTTTTGTAAATCTGTAGCTAATACTTCTAAACAAATAAACGTAACTTCTGCTTAATTTTCATTTACTTATTTACTTTTTTTGTCTAACGCGGGTTAATGCATCTCAACTTCTCTGAAGGTTACTGTTATATTTGTTTGTCTGTGAATGTAATATTATCTGTGTTATATCCATAAACAAACTGTTTGCTAACAATTTTCTTGAATTTTGTTGACAGATATGTATATCATTTTTATTTTCAATTTCGTTTCAGCTGTATGTACATATCTGGTATCCCTGGTACGGGTAAAACAGCATCAGTCCAAGCTGTATTGTCTACGATGCATAAATTAGTTACTGATTCAGGTTTGGAAAGCCAAATACCTGCTTTTAAAGTGATCTATGTTAATGGTATGCGTGTCAGTGATCCTAAACAGGTTTACGTGCAGATATATGAAGTAAGATACATTGTATTATAACCAGTGATATGAACGTATTTCATCTTTAACACAGTTACTTTTCCATGTAGCTCTTTTTAAATAAATTCGCATATTAAATATAGTGTACCTTTCCAGTTATTGCTAATTGCTAGTAATTCTTTTGATGTCTGTCTCCAGTTCTTGATGCCTTGTGTTCTTCGGTCTGCATCTTTTCCTCTTGCCTCGACGATTCTATGCTAGGATTTGCCTAGTGACGTAGTTCGATGATTTCCGCATTGTCCATCTACTTCCAGCGCTCTTTGGTATTTTCTTCATTTGGAAGCTGGTTTATCCTCTGCCACAGTAGGTTGTTGCTCATAGTATATGGCCAACGGATTCGGGGTATCTTGTGTAGATAACTGTTGATAAATACTTGTGTCTTTTGAATGATGGTTTCGATAGTTATTCGAATTTCAACTTTACACAGTATGACTGACTTGACGGTAGTAGTGAAAATCATGACATTTGTGTTAGTTAAGTTGCTTTTAGTTCCAGATATTCTTCGTTTGTAGCAATGCTACTCTTGTTTAGTCAATCTGTGTTTTCGTATCTGCATTAGATTCCTCTTGTTCATCGATGATACTGTCCAAATGTCTAAAGGTTTCCATATCTTCCGAAGCTCCTCCATCAAGTGCTGTATTATATCCAAGGGTCTTATTAATGTTTAATGCTGCTACACTGGCTGCCTTCACCTGTTGTTTGTGAGGTAGAAGAGCTAGATCATTTCTGATATCCGGATCATCCAGTTTTCTACAGTATTCCATGCTTCTGTTGAGATGATGACATCTTCATAATGCAATCAACTACTAGGAAAAAAAGAGGTGAGAGTAAGTAACCTTGCCTGATACCGGTCTTAACTTCGAACGAATCTGTGAGCTGTCCTCCATGCACAATCTTGCAGTTTAATCTATCATAAGAATGTCGTATGATGTTGACTATCTCCTCGGGCACGCCATGGCGTTGAAGAAGCCTCCATAGTGTCATTCTGTCCACACTGTCAAATGCTTTCTTGTAATCAAGGAAGATGGTGTATAATGGTGAATTCCATTCAAGTGATTGTTTGACAATGGTCCATAGTGTCGAAGTTTGTTCAGTACAATATCGATCCGTACGGAATTCAGCCTGTTAATCTCGAAGTTGGTCATCTACTGAATCCTATATTCAGTCTAACAACACTGTTAAAAACCTTCCCTGTTGTGGATAGTGGTGTTACTTCTGTAGTTCTCACCCCTGCTGATACCTCCTTTTTTTGGTATCTTGATGAGGTGTCCTTCTTTCTAGACTGTTGAACTGATGTACTTATGTACAAAGTTCTACGTTGCATCTGACTGACTGACTGAGACTGTTGGTACTTATTCTTCCCCCCAAATCTTGCTGAACAGAGCGTGGAGTATCTTTGTGGTTACTGTCACATCTACTGTCAGTGCCTGGACTGGAATGTTTCTTGGCCCTGCTGCTTTGCTGCAGCTGCTTCGATGATGGGTGGATTCGGTGGGGCTGGTCGATTGAAGAGTTCTTCAAAATGCTCTACTCACCTGTCTCGCTGTTCTTCACTGGTCGTTCTGGTTTACTATATTTTACAGCGAGCTTAGCATTGTACAGTTGCCTCATGTTTCCTTCTGTTGCAGCTTTTTCCGCTATCATTGCTAGGTCTTCCATATATTTACGATTGTCAGCTCTGATGCTCCTATTCACTTGCTTGTTTGCTTCTGTAAATTCAACTCCTACATTTTATTTCTCTGTTGTTCGGACGATATTGACTTCTGCCTTCTTGTTCTTCCCTTCTTGAATCCTATCCAGAGTATTCCCAGAAATCCATTCCTTGCAATTGTGCTTCCTGTGGTCCAGAACCTCATTCTGACTTACAACGTATTGCTGAGGGCTATTTTAAATGCATTGAGGCCATGGTAAACTTTTGTGACGTCCGCTTTAATGTCCAGTGCTTCTTTAGTCTTAGTTTCATATTGGCTACTATCATGTGACAATCTGAAGCTATGTCAGCTCCTCTTCTGGTTGTCACGTCCTCCATCTTCCTTCGGAACTTTTTATTGATGCGCATATGATTGATTTGGCTTTGTTTAGTGTGATCCGGTGAAACCCATGTAACATTTTGTATGCGTTTGTGAGGGAATATGGTGCTGCTTATAGCGAGTTTGTTGAAGTCACATAGGTTTATTAATCGCTCATTGCTTTCGTTCCTTTCTCGCAGTCCGTGTCGTCAAGTACCACCAGGTTGTATCTTTTCATTTCTGCAGCAACTTGGATGACTCTTCCGGTCTCCCACATTGTATGACCATTCCACGTACCTAAATCATTGGTTGCGCTGGTTGTGAAAAGGGACATCGGCTTTGAGACTTCCGAGGGAACTCGGCTTTCATGAGATGTCATAACTCTTCTAAATGAAGACCTAACTCCTAGGGCAGAGTTTAAATGGTTTGAATTATTTTTTCTGGTTAGCATTTTTCTAGCGAGTTAGTTTTCTGCGGAATGGGTTCGCTAACCCCACGCTCAACCATCCTCCTTTATCTGGGCTTGGGATTTGAATTGATGATCCGATCTCTCTGTGCTAATGTGGTATGGCGACTTGAACTGATATATGCATATAGCTAGTTCCACGTTACAGCTGACTGACTGAATCAATTGCAACCGTTTGTTATCTAAATTTTTCATCTAGGTGATAAGCAAAGGCAAGACGTTAACTACTTCTATGCGGGGTAGCCATTTTTAGTTGTCCATTGTGACATGACCATATAAAACCTTGAAATCCATTCTAATGATCAATTACTTTCTGACATGTTTATGTACAGTTATGTGACTAGTCAAATTCGCCTACAATGAAATTGTTTATTGCCATTATTCTGTATATCACAAGCATCTGTAACTCCAGTCAAACTTGATTTCTTTGTTTTTATTTTAGCAATTAACTGGTTTGACTGCAACCCTGAAATGTGCTTCTGACTTACTAGAAAAAGAATTTTGTCATAATGTGGTTAAAAAAATATCACATAGTAAGGTTTCTGAAAAGCCGGTTATTTTAGTCATTGATGAATTGGATTTGTTGTGCACTCGTCGACAAGACATACTTTACAGTCTTTTCGATTGGCCTACACGCCATAATAACCGTCGTGTTTTGATAGTATTGGCTATTGCTAATACCATGGATCTGCCAGAACGTCTACTCCATCCACGAGTGGCCAGTCGTTTAGGGTTAACTAGACTTACTTTTGCACCTTATTCTCACGAACAACTTGCTCAAATTGTGCGACATCGCTTATCGTCTTTATCAGAGATGTTTCAAGTAAGTGTTTTTTCCATAACACTATTTATAGTTTCCCTACATATACTTGTATGCAGTTACGTTCAATTCAGTAGTTCGGATATACACTGTATATTCTTTTAGTATATTGGTTGCTAGAAGTGGTCCATTTCTAATATTGTTGCTGAAAATCATTTATTTAAATATCTTGGTAAATGAATAAATTTTGTAGTTGGTTTAAAGCGAAAGCTAGTATTTAAACATGCTATATATTATTTAAAAACCCACTTGTCAGATTTTTATGAAAAAATTTGGGACGTGCTTCATGCCGTTGATGCAATTCAGTGGATGTTCTATAGCAAGCCAGCTACAGCGTAGAACTCCGTACGTACGTAAATCCACATTAACACAAAGAGATGGAATCGTCTACAGTATTATTTATCTTATGAACTAGTGAATTCCATAGTGATACTGACAGTGTGCAGTACACTTGACCATTGGTTAGCAAACAGATATCTCGCCTACGCCATAAATGACACAAGTTGGCAAAAACCAATCGAGCTTTCTGTATCCGTGCTGAGATTTCGTCAGTCACCAGGCCATCAGCGCTGATGAGACTTCCCAGGTAAGTGAAACTGTCAACACACTCAACTGCCTCACTCCCCATCATTAGTCCAGGTGCAACCAAATCTTTAAGCAACATTTTGCATTTCGAAGGGGAGAACCGCATCTTGAGCATTCTTGCATTGTTGCTTAGGGTAGTCAGAAGACTGCATTTTGTCAGCGTCCTCACCGAATAGAACTATGTCATCGGGATATTCTAAGTCAATAGGAGATCCTCCTAGTAGTTCCACCCCTGAAAAATCTGACGAGGATAATGTTGACTCTAAAAGCATGTCTACGACAGCCCTGACGGACGCCAGTTGAAGAATTCCGATGATAGTTCGGCATTGGGTCTCACACGGCCGGTGGTGTTCGAGTAGAGAGCTTGTATATAAGGTCAATGTAATTTTCCGGTAGACCTTTTAACGACAGGCACTGTCATAGGAATATAACTATGGTGGGACGTCGAAATATGTGTCTATGTTCCAGGACCTGACGAAGAGAGAATATTTCGTGTAACAGCCACGTCCAGATCTGAAACCAGCCTGGTTTTTTCTAGTCTGCTCTTCACGAGCTCTAATTAGGCGTCAAAGTATTTTCGAGGCTGACATTTTAGACACTATATTAGTTAGACTGATTCCTCTGTGATTGTCACAAGTGGACTTTTGTCCTTTCTTATAAATTGGGACAGTCAGATGAGATTATGCCCAGTTCCCAGATTCTACGTAAGATCTGAGCCAATGTAGCTGCTAAAACTGGACCACCATCCTTACAAATCTCAGGGGTAAGCCTATCAGGCCCTGCCGCTCGTCCTCACTTTTTGTTAGCCTGCGTCTAAGCTGACTCCGCTCTTCGTCATCTTTGGAGTCAGATGGGGTGAGTTTCCGAGCGCCTATCAGTTTGGTCGATGCTACTGAGATCTACGGTTTCTTGTCAGCCTTATGATTTGCCTTACTAACAGATATAACTGCTGTTTCCACAGCCTTTCGGATATCATTCAAAGCTGTCTCGGGATGGAAATCACTTACATGGTCGCCTAACTGTTTTTCCAGGTTTTCCTGAAATATATTCATAGCTTTGCTATCATTTGGTAGAACCCTAAGAGGTTTCCTTACCGTGTCTTTCCTACGTCCAGTAAGTCGCACGCATGTACGCACCCGCACTAGAGCATGATCTGAATCTAAACATGTGCCCAAAGCGAGCGCCTTCCTCAATAGAGCCTCTCCATCGATGGCTGATAACGATGTGATCTAGTTGGGTCCATCGCTGAGATGACTGTGGGGATTACCATGTCAAAAGATGTTTTTCCTTGTGCTTAAAGATAGTATTTGCTAGAGATAGGCAGTAATCTGAGCATATTTGCAGCAAACGGTCACCATTATCTGATCTTTGATCAGCAACACCATAAGATCCACCCAGGTGTCTTTCCTTTTCACTCAGTCTATACCTACTTGAGCATTAAAGTCACCAGCCATTATTACTATATCAGAGTGCCTAACCTTTTGGAGGAGGTCCGAAACCTTTCTGTAAAACTCATCTTTTACATCGTTTGAACTGCAGTTAGTGAGAGTGCAGTAAGATACTACGTAGAGGCGACGGAGTGTCCCTATCTTTCTGAGTCCTTACTGTCCCATTTAGTCGGTCAGCGCGCAAGCGACTATCTACTGGGATTCAGTCTTGGAGAGCTAGTTCTGCCCTAGGACTCAATGCTACACCTACAGCAGCAAGGCTATGGTAAGCAGCAGCATCAAGGTTTCCAGGTACCCGAAGAGTAAATCGATATGGTCCTTTATTTTGACACGAGATCAAATAAATGACGCTACTGGGATCTTGTGTGCGCGTTTCGATGGCGCGCGATTCTCAAGTCCTAGCTAAGGAAGCCTGTTGTCCTATTTGGCACAATATTGAGATATTAACAGCTCCAATATGTAGTTTAGAACGGGGTTTCGGGAGAATAGGAATAACGTTTCGGGAACTCGAATCGTTTGCAGCAGAGGTGCGGAGTGAGAAGAGTTGGTTGTGAAGATAAGGAGGATGTTAGGGGTTGTAGGAAGGATTTGTTTGTGACCCATTTGATATTGTGTGCTGTTACGGGTATGAAGGCGGATGTTAGTACCTGATTACCCACACCGTGGAGGGTTGATCTTGCGAAACCTGAAAAGTAAGTTAGGTTAGTGGTGGTGTTAAAGACCTGGGAGCGTGATCGCACACTCCAAGGGACAACTGCTTGAGGCCGGTCACACACGGCCACTTTATGAAAGGTTTTTTGAGTATTAGCTCCGCTCTTTTAAAGCCCTTTCTCGACACCCCTTGCCGCAGGAGACGGAAATCTGTGAGGTAGGGTGAGGTGTGACATTTTTATGGTCGACCTCTTCTAACCCTTCCTTCCTTGTGAGAAGGCTGCATCGCTGCAGATGCTGTTCGCCCTCAGACCTTGAGTAGGTTTTTAGTCTGATCGTTCTCCAGTCGACCTGTCTGGCATGGCGGAACCTTCAAAAACATATATTCCAGCCAATATAGCTCGGTTTGGTGATCACGATAGGCAAGCCCGACCAACACGTCAAGGTAGCAGCTACGGTCGGGTTGGTATTCATAAGCGAAATTTATTCCACTGGATAGTTGGTATTCTGTGAAATTATTGATAGTTTTATGCTTGGAATATTACACTGACTGAATAAAGTCATTTTGATCTCGCACTTTGAGCTTTATCATGGAGCTTAGTGTATCATATTGTAGTGAACGAGAACACAGGTGGGGCAACCGAATTCTATTTAACGAAAATTACAGAGTTACTCAGTAAAATCGGAAAACCATATCGTAAATCGTTAATTTGCAAAATATCAGTTCATCATATCGAACTGGACTGTTCCTGTTGCAAAACATCAATCCATTGTCACTATTCATGCGTTTCATACAAATTCCATTGTGTTCTAACTCTTCCTTTCTTGATCTTCCCTCATCTTCTGCTGCCAGACATTACGTTGACGCTCACGTCATATACTACTTATAAGTAGCTCGCACCACAATATAGCTATTCCGTGTTTATTATCTTGACCATTCTGTTTATTCCACTAATAATATTCGGCAGGCAATTTTCTTTTACTCATATATTCTATATCATTTCTTCGCAGTTGAACAATAAAATGATTCTAAATCCCTGATTGGCTTTTTTTCCACCCTTCTGAACTTCACAATAATCTCGCAAAGTACTTTTCTGCTTTGTCAACTCATATGATATGGTTGACTGTTATTTGTTTTCTAAACAGAACGAGACGTAGACAAAAGTCTTATTTATCTGTTCAGAGATAGGTATTTTTGCAGCTTCCATTCATACATAAGTAGATTTTTAGAGTTCTTTACTAAATCATTTTTCTTTTACAGCCTAAAGCACTTGAGTTGGCTGCACGTAAAGTGGCTGCTGTCTCTGGTGATGTACGACGCGCTCTTGATATATGCAAAAGAGCTGGTGAAATTGTTTCATCTAGCGGGAAGGCTAATCAAGAAATAGATATTTCGCATATTAATGCCGCTTTAGAAGAGATGTTCACTACACCGAAATCAGCAGCCATACGTGCCTGTTCATTATATGAGAAATTGTTTCTTCGCGCCGTTATAGCTGAGTTTCAGGCGCGTTCAACAGAAGAAGCTCGATTAGATCGATGTATTCAGCAAATGCTAGCACTTTGTCGACTTGAAGGTTGGTAAATTTCTTGTAATTGCTTATATCGCTAACAGAAATCAATACATTGAGTAAAGAATCAGTATTGCATCATTTACATCAAATGATTAGATGCAGTCCATTCTTTTGCGCTAGTTTTATTCACCAATCCTATAAAGTTTGAATTTTATTCATATGTTTATCGCTCACTTATAAGTAGACTTTCAATTCGTCAATGAATTCTCACCGAAATCCATTTTAGTCCCGATATAGGGGTGTCTGTTTTTTGTTTCTGTATTATGATAGAACTAGGAGTACTAGCATTGAGGCTGGCTTCATCTTCTTATATTATATGGTAACTCTCAAATATTCTGATGATAGAAAATTTATGATTCTATCTTTTAGGCTTATCGCTCACAAATACAAGCTTGCGCTATGTAATAATCTCATGATAAATTAATCATTCATCTAGCAGATCATCAAATTAAAAACGTTCATTTATGTTAAGCTTTTCGGTTATTTTTAGGTGTTCCATGTCCAACCACATCAGAAGTATTTGCTATTTGTACCAGTCTTGGAGCGCACAAGTTGTTGTTAACCGAAAGGTCACGATGCGATATTACAATGCTTGTACGTCTCAATTGTACAAAGTCAGATATACTATACTGTTTAAACACACAATCCGACGTATAAATCTAACATAACTGGATAAATTAATCTCAACTTAATGAGTAGTTATCCAATCAATCATCTTTGTGTTCAAGATTATATAGTGTTTAAAAGACAATATACGAATGTACATGTATTTCGATAAATTTCTCTATTTATTTGATTTTAGTCCGTGCTTACAAATCGACCATTCATAAATACAGAATTTACAATTATTTTTTATGAATCGATGCATTCAAAACAATACAACATAACCATTTTGGCATATTGCAATCATATTTGTTAGATAAGAGTTTATCCCCTTATTCCTTTTTCAATTGGTTCTGAATATTTCAAAATCCTTATCTTAAATCTATTCAAATCACTTTCTATTGTTAGTGCTTTATTAATTGCTATAAGCCATTATACTATGCTAACTTTTACCTAACTTTACCATAGATTTGAATATATGGTCGTTTTTTCTAAAAAGAAGTTTTTCACCGAATCACTGTACAATTATTTTACACTTACTATCAATGATCGTAAGTGTATTTCATTATATCAGAAACTTTAATTAAAGAATGTGGAAATAAGTCACCTTGCATCAGTGAGATACTTTTGAAGCGCAATTTACCAGTTGGTACGCTGAACAGCGACTACGTGGCCGCTGGGTAATTATCTATGCCATTACCACTACAATTCTCCCAAATTTCTTGTTAAACAGGATGCATCGAGAACGAATGACATTAAATTTATTAAAGCTTTGCATTTAAAATTAGCACACATAGGAATGCGAATGTGAACACACATGAGACTGCTAACGTTATATGCATTAAATCTATTTGCGAATCAAAGACAGACGATTCCACACGATTAAAATTCAAAAGGCGATTAGCGACATCAGGTTTGAGTATGCTTGAGATACGTTCCAGGCTCCCATTGTGTGGATTCGGTTGAATATTTAGTAGTGCACACATTAATGGATAGACGTCTACAGCATAGACAGTAGGAATGCTTTCACCAATCCTGAAAGAAGGACCACTTGCGATAAAGAAAGGATACATTTCAGAGAAGTCTGTTGCATAACCATGATCACCAGCTAGTAAACATAAGGTAAATACAACAATCGTTATTTAAAATTAATAAAAGCAAACTGCTCAGCATTAATGACATTATTTCTATGGAAATGTCGGAATCAACTTACAGACATTGGCGTAAGGATGTGAAGTGTTCTTTACAATTTTCCACCGTGGTTTAGCAATAAGTACCAATGGAGGCATACGAGAGTTAGTGGTATTGAAATTCAAATACGCAGGGACTTCATCTTTTCGATATACATCTAAATGTGGATGCGCATTTTTTAAGCGTTGGTACACTTCTTCAAATTTCCCTAGATAGTAAAGAACATGTAATTGTTACAATCTTATTTGTTATGCTTACCAAATTTATGTTGTCAACAACAACACTGATTAGTCTGTTAATAATTCTAATTTACAAGTAATAAGGTGGGCTCGTCGAAATTCTGCCTCAAAATAATCGACTGGAAATAACAACGATCAAAATAACGTTTCCTGATGGTACAAATTTAAGAATGAGCATTTCATAAGTACGTAGTAGACTGGAATTTCCTATCAGTAATTTTTTCGAACGGAGTTATGTATAAGTGATAAGACAATCCCGAAAAAAGTCGAAATCGATGAGATACGTTTTACATATTTGCAATTTTTTACTGGGACTCGTAAACGTAATATTTCAGTGAGACTCAAACTCCACACTGGACACCAGATAATCATTAAGTAGGTTAGTTTGTTAAAATATGCAATATTCATTAAAGTAGCTTGATTGATCTCATACTAGAGAAAATATGAGTTCTGAATTGCACTATTAATCGGGATCAATGAAGCATTGTTTGACAATAAAATATCAGTAACCAGCAGAAAATTTCCCAGTTAATACCAGACAGCGCGTAAATAAACAGTTGAGACACATCCTGTGCATGACAGTTGGCTATATCATCATTTTTTGGCAGAAAGAACAGAGGGAAGATTACATTAATTCTAATGTTGTTTCAATAGAATCAAATGATAGGGACGGTATCACTCCATCATTTTTCCTAAATACGATTTTGTCAGTATGAACCGTTTATAATGAGAAAGCTCAGGTATAAATGTCACATACTGCGGAATAACTTTCATCCTAAATGACCGATTCATTTCGCACCGTAGTTAGTGAAAATTCTAATGGCGTAAGCAGTAATTCGATGGATGCAAAGAGTTTCACACAATTCAGATACTTTCTATATAAGACACAAGCTTTTAATCAATCGGAATTTATAAATTATTTCAGTTGAAAAATGAGTTAAGTTTGAATCAGACCCAGGAAGTGAGGTTGAGCCTAGTGTGCAACCGAAAATTTCAGAGTTCGGTCTCACATTTACAAAGTGATGAGATGATGAGTCCTATTTGTCAATGAGTCTTGAGGTAATTTCACACTGAACAGGATCTGGAAAAACGATTAGTGACACATTAAAGATCCTTATTCATTACTCAATTTAAAGTTTCATCATTGAAGGATTGAGTACTTACCAGGCACAGGATAAAGAAATCCCATAGTTGATAACTGAGTATAATTGTACAATGAATTATCAATATATTTATCCAATGGTATAAGTCGAGTATTTGATGTCTCAGACATACCATGATCAGCAGTTAGAATAATATCTACTTTATCAATAAGATTACGTCTTTTAATATCGTCTAACAATTGGCCAAGTATTTTATCTAAGGTTTGAACAACTTTCGCAACATGTATACTATTTGGACCATATGAATGACCAGTTTCATCAGGTTCATCGAAATAAGCTAAAATTAGATTTAAATGAAATTTCGGATTTCCCAACCACCATAATACATCTCTGATTCGTTGATCATATGCATATCGGTGTTCATAGTCATTGAGTAAAGCATATTCAGAAACTCGTTGAAATGGTAAATCTTTGCTGACAAACTGATCAGTCAAAGGCCATAAAACTGAACCAGCATAACCACCCTCTTTTTGTAATGTAACCCATATAGGTTCAGGCCAATCAGTTAACCATGGAGCATGATTTAAGCTTTCTTGATCACCTATACTGAAAGTTTGATTTGGCCACTTCGTATCTAATAGACTATTTCCAACAACTCCATGATTCTCTGGATACAAACCCGTAATTAGTGTACGATGATTAGGTAAAGTAATTGTGGGATAAACATTGATCGATTTCATAGCTCGTACACCTTTTGATATAAGACGATCAAAATTTGGTAATGAATTAGAGCCCAGATGAGCTTTAGCCAATTCCAAGTAATCATGGCGAAATCCATCCATGCTAATTAGTAAAACAGTTCTGTCGCTTTTAAAAATTCTGCCCCAACGAATTAAAGCAATGTTTGGAAACATCAAAGTCGAGAAGATATTGTAGGCAAATAGTATTACTATCAAACCTGCTATGGTTAATGTGATGGAATTACAACGATTTCCACATTTATATCGACGGATATATTTGTGATTTGCTTGATAACACGGAGGAGGTAAGTCACCGCCATTTGGTATAAGTTGTTCCGTTGACATATTTACTGTGATAAGATGAAGTAAAAGCGTAAAACCTCAACTGAAATACAATATAAATTTTATATTCAATAAGTAAAATATTCAGAGAAAAGCAATACATCTCATCATTTATTCACTATATTATTTGTAATAATTCGATAAGAAAGAAATAGGGCATTACAATGAACGTCATGCACTGCTATGCACCTATCAATGACTACAATGATGTTAAAGATCAATTAACCGAGAGGCTGCAGTCAATCAAAGGATTTAACCATTCTGATGAGACCTGAACGCCACGGATGGAAAGGACCACACTGGACATGAGGCCATCGTAGGACAACATGGACCACGGGAAATGGACGAAAGCAGTGAGTGATTCGCAAACCTATGTATCTTCAACAGACTCGTCATACGCAGCACCATATTCCCACACAAACACATACAAAACCTTACATGGGTTTCACCAGATCACACTACTGAGAACCAAATCGACTATATTTGTAACAATAAAAAGTTCCGAAGGGAGATAGAGGACGTGCGAACCAAGAAAGGAGCTGATATAGCTTCACCCCACCCTATGTACCTCGCCAAAATGAAACAGACTCAAGAAGCACTGAGTAACGGGGCGGACAACATCACAGTTTAATACGGCGTTTATTCAGGATACTGAGAAACTCAACGATTTCAAGATAACGCTCAACAATAGGTTCCAGGCTTTTTATGATCTACTCAGTGGAGAGAAAACTACCATGGAGAACAATTAGGAAGGGATCAAAGAGGCAATCCCTTCAATATGTCAGGCGTTTCTAAAACACAAGAAGCACCATCACAAGGAATGGATCTCGATCGGTACCATTGGAAAAATTCAAGAAAGGAAAAACAAGAAGACTACAATCAGCATCAAGGAGCATGAAAGTCGACAAACGTAAATATTTGGAAGACCTAGCAACGACGGCAGAATAGGCTAACAAGTGAAGGAAACGTGAGACAATGGTACGATACAACAAAAGAGCTCGCTGGAAACTACCGTAAACCAGAACGAACAGTGAAAAGCAAACAAGGCAAAGTAATCAGCAGCACTGAACAGCGAAATAGGTGGGTAAAGCACTTTAAGGAACTCTTGAATCGACCAGCTCCATTGAACCTACCCAACATCGAAGCAGCAACCACGGACCTACCAATCGAAGCTGACCCGCCAACAACTGAAAAGATCAGCATCGCCATCAGACAAATCAAGAGCGACAAGGCAGCAGGACCAGACTGGTCGGCGGCCTATGCTCCACTGAGGGTAACCGGCGTAAGTAACTACGTTATCAAGAGAAAAGCAATATATATTCGACCACATTTTGTATCCATAATATCCTAGCCTATTATTTCCCAACCATAAGTACTTAGTCATGCTTCAGCACGTGAGAGTTGGCTAACTCTTATCCAATTCGCTTCGCTTTGCTTGTACGCTTTTCATTCTTGAATGAATGCATAAAATAAATTCATCCACAAAACCGTTTCTGGCTTCTTATCACCAGCGCCACAAAGACGGGGTTTGTCTAAGTATAATATCCAGAAATAGAAAGGAAGGTTTATTTCATCGCATACTCTATCATTCGTTCAAGGTAGAATCAAATCACGGGTCACTTAAATGGTGAGCACTACTTAAAATTCAACATAGCCACTAAACGTTTAACAGCTGGTATTTTTATTCGGCTGGAGAGAAGTTATAAATGGATTAGTACGTGGATCATGTGTTGATGGAAAAAAGTTGTTTTTACTATACTAGTGAATATCACAGACACGAACTGTCTACAAACAAGTGGGCAGAAAGTTTTTTTTTCAATCGTAGAATGCCTTGATCATACTGATTTTAGACGACTATCTTTGAGTATATCACAGAATTTATAGTCTCATGATACTCACATCGATATAAATCTCAACTATCGAACATCCGTGAAAATGAGAAAGATTTTCCAAACACAATAAAGACGATATTAAACAATAATAGAATCAAGAAATGTTGATTGCTATTGGATCGGTCGATTATATGGAAGTCATGAGAGACTAATCAGCAAGGAATACGCAGTAACGATATCGAAATTATTCCCTAGATGCTTAAGAATCGTTCAATGTATTGTAAACTAACAGTGATAACACATATATCAAAATTCATTGATATGTGCACCAATAAACTGTTTGTTACAGAGAAATGTTCCCGCAGATAAAGGAATTTCAACACAATTAATGAGGTTGAAAAATAAACCAAAAATTTGAAGTATGTTAAGTTACTAATGGACATATGAAAATAGAAGCGATACTTGTAAAACCTGTAATATAATAACTTTCTTGCAAAAGTACAGTGTCAAAGATTATATACGGAAAAATTTGTCTTCTTTATTCCTGGAAAACATGTATTATAGCGAATATTATTTGTTGCAGAATTATAGTATTAGACTTATCGTGCTTGATAGTGACAAATATCTTTTGATATACAGGTCAAAAAACTAATCTAACTTCCACTTTAGTATGTAAGTGTCTTGTAAAAGCATTCATTATTCAACAGGTAATAGTAAGAATGAGTTTCAGTTACTGAGACGCAACTTACTCACAACAATGGAAATTATAAGGTACTGAAGCAAGATATGGTAACCTTTCAAGGTCATGATTTTGATTAGCTCACGACACTTTATTGTACTAAAGAGATGAACGAGATAGAGAGAAATTAACAATAACAAATTCAAGATAAAAGAGAAGAGTTTTGCGAACGGCAAAATCCAGACGATGACAAGAAACCAACCAATAGAGTTGTAAACTATCAATGACTAAGGTTAAGATACATGTTAATGATGCAGTGCTACTAACCTGCGAATCGTGTCATTCTAAGTATTATGTAGCGTAGTAAGCCTCGAAAATGTTAAGTGGCAGTCCATTCGTCTTCTAACGGCACTAGTTATGCTGCTAGATCCACGAACTTCCACCACGGTACAGAAGACAATTCTGATAAATGACTGAAGACTAAATCATACAGCTCAAAATCGAGGAAAGTAACGAAAATTTTTTTCATTTCTAGAAAGTAATAGTGTCGTGTATTTTTTATTGTTTTTATATAGTTTTGTTTCCCACTTCCATAATTTTTATCATTTATATTATTCTGTCTTTGTCCTTAATGACTCAGCTTCCATGAGCGATATCATAAACTGATTGAGTTTGAAAGTACTAACCAAATAAATGAGTTGTTGCTAGAAGACGTGTGTACATGAACTGAGTCACAGAATGTAATGAAGCAGTTGCACATATTTAACCGGCCTCTAAATAACTTATCTCTTGATAAAATGCAATTTTACTCAGTAGAGTGAATGTGATTTTCGACAGCTGTTCAAGACATATCATGAGTCCCTAGGCCATTTTATAAATTAGCCTTAATTTATACTTCTTATGATAAGTAGATATGAGATGGATACAATGTTAACGATTTGCTAAGGATTAGAATTTACTATAATTAGCAAATTGTTAATAAGACTACTTATTTCTAATTCTTTAGCGAAAAGAGGATACAACACTAAAGCTTATGATATGCACTCATAATTATTAGCTATATCATAGTATGCAATGATGCATGAATCAATTGAAAAGTTTAAAAAAAAAAATACTATTTAAACAAGATTACCAGATAAAATCATTTGACTAAAATACGTACATCCCTACACAAAAATTATTCATCGGATTATTTTGTTTAAATACTCTGGAGTTACTTTGAATTCATCTTCTACTAAAAGTTTTATCTTACTGCTAATGTTCAAAATGATACAAAAGAAGGGGGGAAGGACATGATAGACGAATTAAATACTTTGTTTTGATTATTTTAAACGCATACAGTATAAACAATATTAAAGAGATTGCAATTTGTTTTTTTAAAAGAATAAGAATAGTGCAGTGAACGAATGAATACATATAAATGAGAACATTCACAACAACTAACATGATACATGCACACACACCTACATGTTGCAAAAATATGGATTCTCAATCAATATTAAGAACAAATAATCAATCGACTATGACACTTTATTTTCATGATTCAACAAAAGAATTCTACAACAAGAGAGGGAAAGCATATCGATACAGTTTCATTGACTATAACCATATAATTTCGACATAGGTGATGGAGCACGTCGGAAAAATAGAGATGATCCTCTAACAAAAGCATCCTATAAAGTAAAAAAAATTAATAACCAAAAGTAAATTGTTAGGTTTAGGTTTTGCATTACACTGGTTGAAAAAAAGTAACGTGTTTTTCGGAAATTTTGTTACCACTTAATGCTAAAATCAGCTTGGAGTGTAATCTCGAAAAAGATGTATAACTTTAAAGAACTTATTATTACTTAGTGAATGGATTTAGTGGTGTTCAACGAATTGAAAAACAGCAGTGACATCTGCCATTACGATAAACCAAAAGGTTAGGGAAAGTCAGTGAAAACTTCTGAACTGATAAAGGTTCGGAAACTTATCCCTTCTGGCTGTGAACACGATGAGGAGGGGAGGTAGCTTAAAGAACAGATGATAAGGAGCTTACATGATGACCGTGAACAGTGGTGGGCAGCGAAAGCTATAGACATGTTAAAGGCGGCGACGTAGATAGTAGTAGACAACTGTTCAAACTTATCAAGGAAACCGGGAAAAGAAATCTGACTGTTAGTGAGACTTTCTCGAATAATACTCCTCGATAATACTTCGACGCCTAACTAAAGCTCGTGAAGAGAAGACTACCGAAAACCAGGATGGTTTCAGACTTGGACGTGGCTATATAGACCACATTTTTACACTACGACCGGTCCTGGAACATAGACACATTTAGTCGCTCGACAACAGTAGTATTTTTCGACCTTAAAGCGGCATATGACTTTGTCAATCGTGAGGTTCTATGGCGGTGTCTGATATTAAAATGTGTATCAAAGAAGTAAATAAACCTTATAAAAGCTCTCTACAAGAACACTTCAGGTCGAGTTCGAGCTTATGGCGAACTGCCGTCGGAAATGGTTACTTAAAGTGGCTTCCGTCAGGTATGTACACTTTCTCCATTCTTGTTTAATTTTGTCATACACATGCTTTTAGAGGTAACATCTCTCAATGCTAATGTAGTACGTTGTAGCTGACTGAGAATTAAAGTGTGACTCATATCCACATATCTGGTGAATGCATGAAAATTAATGGGCTAGTGAATCAATAATTGACCTGAATAAATATCTAGTGGAGACGTTAAGCTATAATAATAAGGGAGATCGAATAGAATTATTTATTAAGATACATCACATCCGTCATGCGGGTGTTTATTATTTTTTCAGTGAGTGATTACTGAAATGTGATTGAAAATGGTCAGCCAGTCAGTTACAACGTAGAACTTCGTACGTACGTAAATCAGTTCAGGTTGCCATACCACATTAGCGCAGAGACGTAGATGTCAGTTCAAATCCCATAGTGGTAGCGATAGTAGAAGTATTAGCAGTAATAGAGAAGATTAGGGTTCGAAGATATGATTCGAGAAGTTATGGAAGGATGTTTTATTTTGAGTGATTTAATCATAGTTAAGTGATTGTGATCATAATTAATTGAAGGATAAAGACGAACCTATTAGTTATCACACTGTCTACTTCTGTTGCTAAAGCAGATTTAAGCCTAAATCCTACTGTTACCTCAGATCTTCCTAAGTCAGTCAGCCAGTTATAACGTAGATTTTCGTACGTATGTACATAAGTTCGGATTGCCATACCACATTAGCACAGAGATGCAAGTGTCAGTTCAAATCCCAAAGTAGTAGAGATTGTAGAAATATTAGCGGTGTTGCAGAAGCTTAGAGTTCGGAGAAATTATTCAAGAAGTATAGTTCAGGGAAATAAATCTAGAAAGAGAAAGATAGAGATTAAGAGGAATTAAGAAGATTAGAATTTCAAAGAGAACACAAAGAGTGGATGCACCTGTACCATTGCAAACGATTTAGAGCTGTTGTTCAAGGTCTCCAACTATCGGTTAATATGGTCTCGCAAAACCCAACCAGGTAGTCTACACTGACCAACATGACACAATCTAGTTTTCATCGACTTCGTGGATTTGTGCCATGTTTTTGTTTGGCCGCCCCTAGCTTTCTTCCAACCTACTCCTAAACCACAAAACATAGCTCGACGAGGCAGTTGAGCATTCGTAACACATGTCCCAACCATCTCAACTGATGAAGTTTCACTACTTCGTCTATCGGTCTGCCATCCTTACGTAGTACTCATTTCCTAACGACCGCATTGCTTACTCGCTGGTCGAGCGATACACTAGCAATGCTTCGGAGACATTTATAATCGAATGCTAATAACCTACGAATGTCCTTTACTCTTACCGGCCATATTTCGCATCCATATAGTAGGACGGAGCGAACTGCTGCGCAGTACACTCGTCCTTTGGTATTTCTCAAGGTATATTAACTCGTCAAACAAGCTTAAGACGATACATTTTAACGTGTTAAACACAAGCCGAAAGATACTCACTAAAGGGACTGACTGGTAATATCTGCCGACGGTGATTACAGCAAGAACAGCAAGAATAATTTCAAACGATGCTACGGCTGTGAGTGGCCAAATTCTCGTTTACTAAACCAGTTGGTTATTTTTGTAATCCGCTAATTTATTGTCTTATTTCGAGAACATTTTAAAGGTAATTATACGCGGTTGTAAGCAGCCTAGACCATCCTTATTCAGTCACTCTTAGTAAGATGTTGTATGTGTGGGTGTAGGAAGGATTTGATTTCGACCAATTCGTTCTCGTTTGCTGTTACGGCTATGAGGGCGGTTGTCACTTCTCGGCTGCCCACACCGTGGAAGGTTGTTTCTTGAGGGACCTGGAAAGGAAGGTAGATTAGTGTTGGTCTTAAAGATCTGGGAGCGTGACCGCAGAGCCCAAGGGACAACTGCTTAAGGCCGGTCACGCACGGCCTTTTTATGAAAGGATTTTGAGGATTAGCTCCGCTCTTAAAAGCCCTTAGTGGGCACCCTTACCCAAGGAGACGGAAATCCGTAAGGTAGGGTGAGGTGTGACATTTTTAGGCTCGACCTTTTCTAACCCTTCCTTCCTTGTGTGAAGGCAGCATCGCTGCAGATGCTGGTTGTCCGAGGGAAACACCTTACTGCTGTCACAGCCCTCCATCACAGTCAGCAGTACGACTTCGCCGTCAGATCTTGGGTAGCTGCTTGTAGTCTCAGCGTTCCCAAATCGACCTGCCTAGCATGGTAGGACCTGCAGGAACATATGTTCCAGCCAGTATAACTCAGTTTGGTCATGGCGATAGGCAAGCCCGACCACCACGTCAAGGTAGCAGCTACGGTCGGGAAGATTTGTTGTATGGATGAGATGTGTCTGGGAAGTTGGTATAGAGTTGTTGGACTGCAATTTGTTGGGGTAAATTGTGAAGAGACATCTTTTGCCACGATAATCTCTTCTCACTGATAGGACCTTTTTAAATAATAATACACAAATGACTCTTAACGGGTATCTAGTAACTTAGATACGCCGTTACTTTGGAACTTGGTTAGACACCAAACACCTACTCGATAGAGTCCCTGGATAAGCTCTGGTGGAATAAACTGCCAGGATTGAGCGAATTACAGAAACAAGTCTCAGATATATAGCACACAATGATATTAACTTTCCAAAGATATTCTTCATTTATTCCGGAGGTTTTGAGTGATGACTCTAGTGTGGAGAAGAATCCGAGTTTTGAAACGTCATTTGTGTTGTAGTTTAATCCTTTTTGGAGGATATATATATATATATACTTAAATAAAGATATTTTTCCCAATTCTCATGAGGGAAAGAACACGGAAGTTTAAATGACAAAAAAGCTTTAGAAAACCTGAACTAAACTTTGCATTTATAATTGAAAATTAGAAAAATAACAGTTAAACGTCTGCAGACCATTTAAACAGAATCTAATCTCAGGCAGGAACTAATAAGATTAGTGCAGAAAAAAGTATACACGGAATGGAACGGAGTCTAACCAGTGCAACAAAGTAATTGCGAATATTGTTCGTATGAAGTGAGGCAAAACGAGTGGAATATTTTATCTATCAGTAGTCACTTTCGTATTTGTGTCGGCTAGGATACCGTCTGAAATACAAACCAACACAAGAGTTTAATTTTACGAGCTACTCCCAGAGTTTGACCGAAAATTCCAATCCACAACAGCATAAAGTCACGACATACAATCTCACATTAGCTGATAATCAAAACAAGTACGTATGCGATTCTTTTCCTGGGAAGTCTTAAGCCGACGCATACTGTTGGTTTGAGTCAGTGTTTCCCTAATATAAGTGGATTCTCAGTATTACACCACCCAGCTTAAGCTCTGGAAATCAGCTTGCATCCCATCGTGTCGAAAAGCAAAAGTAGGAAGAGGCTAAACAAACATCCAATGAACCACCAATATAGGGACTCATAGAAGCTACGACAAAAAGACTGAATGAAGAAATTTTGTCGACGATAAATTACCACCGCATTGGTACTAAAGTTGTTTCCCAGAATGACAGACAAAACCCCGTTTTGAAATTGCAACACTATTACAGACCAAATATGCGTAACTAAACTGAGATACAACAAACTACTAGCTTTTAGACAATTAACATTAAATTGGGTATATTTTTTAAAAACCACACGATATAAATAGAGAGAAAAAAGAGACTTACCGATCGATTTAGGTAGGAATAACATTGCCACCAATTGTTAAACACAGGTACGACGTTATTACTGTTAAAGAAACAACAGATAAAATACACCGATATCATTTAAAAGTTTAAAAAACCAACATTTCGAAGGAATAGTATTGATAGATTGTTATCATTTCTTGTCAACCTTTTATCCCATGTCTAAAATTATTAGTATGAATACCACAAATGTAACAATTTAGAGAAACCCATTACATCACTGATGAAAAATAAGAACTTAAAAACTATTTGAAAAGAAGTTGCACAAGTGAATTGAGGCTAATTTTCTACATGTAGTAATCTACAATAAAATAGAGAAGTGTTACATCACTTAACAAATTTAAAGTAGAACAAAAATAACCCAGTCAGTCAGTTACAACGTAGAACTTCGTACGTACGTAAACCAGTTCAGGTTGCCATACTGCATCAGCACAGAAACAATAATTGTCAGTTCAAATCCTATAGTGGTAGAGATAGTAGAAGTACTACTGGTAAAGGATTAGGATTTGAAGATAATATTCAAGTATAATTCAGTGAAATAACTTTAAAAAGACAAAGGTAGAGGTGTTGATAAATCCAGAAGATTAGGATTTGAGAGAACGCAAAGAGTGGATGCGCCTGCACCATTGCTACCGATTTTGAGACATTTCGTTCAAGGTCTCCAACTATCAGTGATTTTCGTCTCACGGACTCCAACCAACATGACTCAGTCTAATTGTTAGTGACTCCATGGATTTCTGCCATGTTGTGGTTTGGCCGTCCCTAGCTTTCTTCCAACCTACTCCTACACCACAAAACATAGCTCGCCGAGGCAGTTAGTGGTTGAGCATCCCTACCTGGTACTCGTCTCCTAACGACAGCATTGCTTACTCGGTTGTCCCAGGATATTCGAGCAATGCTTCGGAGACACCTATGATCGAAGACAAGCAACCTACGAATGTCCTCTATTCTCACCGGCCATGTTTCACATCCATATAGTAGGACGGAGAGAACTGCTGCACAGTACACTCGTCCTTTGTTTAGTGAACGGATATCTCGGCTACGCCATAAGTGACGCAGATTGGCAAAAGCCAATCGAGCCTTCTGCATCCGAGCTGAGATTTCGTCAGTCACCAGGCCATTAGCACTGGTGAGACTCCCCAGTTACGTGAACAAAAGTAACTAAAAATTCGTTTCACAAGTGTATATTCTGAAATCACATTTGTACTTTGTACTAACATTGATGAGAATGCCTACTAAACTATACTCTGAATAAGAAGTTTCAATACGTTTGAAAAATATGTTCAGTAAGCACAAGTGGATGGATATAAATAGAGATAAAAATCTTCCGATAAAATATAAACCCGTCAGTTTATTTCTAAAATTTATGTTAGTTTACAATCCTATCAGTGATAAGTTACTTTTAACACACTATTCACAAGAAAATACTTAAGGATTAACTAAGAAGTATGACCTTTGGTTTCTAGATAATTAATCTTTGTTCAGAATAGTGTCAATTATACTATCACATAACGTTTGACAATTACGTAGAATAGTTTCATTCTATCATGAAACTATCAAAGTCCGATTAACTTTTTTAAGGCAATCATTATCGTCAATCGTATGTTGTCATTATGTTCATTGAGTAAAGAATATGTGAGTTAACAAAGTGATACGTATTTGTAAAATAACAATATTCTTTGTAGAAAAATGGTTTAATCCCGAAAAAAGAGGATGATTATGAGAGCTAAATTTGCAGATGGACTGAGATTCCAGGGTTACATTCCGTAACTCGACAATTTATTCTCTTTTCTCTTTTCCTACTATTGACTGATTTTGCTAGATGACTGGCTGATTGACTTACTTTTCCTGCTGCTCTAAGTGACATCACAATAACTGACGAAAAATGAACCAACGGCAGTTATACGAAACTACATATTTATTTCCGATGTTATTCTTTACGTACGTTAAGTGAACAAATATCTTTCGAACTGATTATATATAATTTATAGCAGAATTCATCATCCATTAAACCATCAGAGTTCTTTTACAATATTTGAAATTACCGCAAAATTTACGACGGAAAACAATTCTACTTTTAATAAACTATTAAACATTTAAATAAATAAATATAATTATACAGGTTTAGTAAATTATATCATCAAAAAGCAAGTTCTCTTCGATTTATTTTCACGTATACATTCGCTTCGCCTGTAGACCCTTCGGGGCTACTGCCGGTCCCAAGCCCGGATAAGGCAGGAGGGTTGGGATGTGGGTTGGCGACCCCATCCCGCAAAAGCTAACTCGTTAAAACACAATACCAATAAAAAATATTAAGACCATACAAACTCTGCTCTGAAAATTAAAATGTTTTCATTTAGAAGAGTTATGACGTCTTATGATGAAAGCCAAGTTCCTTCGGAAGCATACGATAACTCTCTTATCTCCTCGACAAACCCTTCTTTCGATCGTTTAACGCCCCACGCCACTGAAGCAAACGGTTTGAGCTCACGAAACATTATTCCTGGTCTCTCGAAACTCCATACTAAATTACATATTAGAGCATTTAATGTTTGAGCCCTCTGACAAATATGGCAACAGGCTTCATTAGCTAGAACTCTGGAATCCCGGGCGATCGATGTATGTTGCGTCTCCGAAACGCGCATACAAAATCCGAATAAAATCATCAATTTGATTTCACCTATTGCAGACAGAGACACAACACGGTTTATACTTCGCGCTTCAGGTAGCCGTGATGCTGCTTCCCGTGGCCTCGCCGGTGTAGGTATAGTATTAAGTCGTCGGGCAGAACTACGTCTCTTTGACCGAACTGTCCGACAAAACGGGACACTCTCCGTCGCCTCTTCGTCGTATCTGCCTACGCTCCCATCGACTGCAATTCAGATGAGGTTTTACAGAAAGCTTTCGGACCTCATTGAAAACGTTAAGCACTCTGATATAGTAATCGTGGCTGATGACTTCAATGCTCAATTAGGTAGACTGGGTGAGAAGGAAAGACATCCGAGTGGATCTTATGGTGTCGCGGCTAATCGAACAGATAATGGCGACCGTCCGCTGCAGCTATGCTCAGAAAACTGACTGTTTTTAGAAAAAACTAACTTGAAGGATAAGGAAATGCACCTTTCGACCTGGCGACCCCCAAAGCCGACCCAACGATGGACCCATCACTATAAACCATCGGTGGAGAGGCTCTATTGAAGACTGCCGCTCATTCTGGAGCACTAGTTAAGACTCAGACCATGCTCTAGTGCGAGCGCGTATTTGTTTGCGACTTACTGGACGTGGAAAATGCACCGCAAGGAAACCGCTTACGGTTCTACTTAATGATAGTATCGCTAAGGATATATTTCAGGAACAATTATAAAAAAGGTTAGGCGGCCATGTAAGTGATTTCCATCCCGAGACAGCTTTGAATAATATCCAAAAGGCTGTGGAAACAGCAGTTATATCTGTTAGTAAGGCAAATCATAAGGTTGACAAGAAACCGTAGATCTCAGTAGCATCGACCAAACTGATAGACGCTCCGAAACTCATTCCACCTGATTCCAAACATGACGAAGAGCGGAGTCAGCTTAGACGCAGGCTAATAAAAAGCCTACGCAATGATCGAGAACAGTGGTGGCATCTGACTCTGTCGATAGTGAGGTTCTGTGGCAGTGTCTGTCATTAAAAGGTCTACCAGAAAATTACATTGACCTTATGTACAAGCTCTACCTACTCGAACACTGTTGGTCAAACGAGAGCTTATGGCGAACTGTCATCAGAATTTTTTACTTCAAGTGCTGTTCGTCAGGGATGTCCACTTTCTTCATTCTTGTTTAATTTTGTCATAGACATGCTCCTAGATATAACATTATCTTAGTCCGAATCTTCAGGGGTAGACCTTCTACCAGGAGTTTCATTGGTTGACTTAGAATATGCCGGTGACATAGTTCTACTTGGCGAAGACGCTGAAAAAATACAGAGTCTTCTGACTACCTGGTTGGGGCCCACGAGGTGATAGTAATCGAGAGTTAGCTACCAGGAATGATACGGCTCAAAACCGTTTGCAATGGCGCAGGTGCATTCGTTCATTGTGTTCTCTCAAATCCTTACCTTCTGAATTACCCATGACATGTATCTTTTTCTCTTAGGTTTATTTCACTAGATTGTACTTGACTACTGCTCATACTTCTACTACCGCTACTTCTATGGGATTTGAAGTGACAATCGCATCTCTGTGCTAGTGTGGTATGGCAGCTTGGAAGTTGTTGTTGACTTACTGACTGACATGTATACATTCAGGTAGTGGGCATACCAAATGGTTATATTGCTCTTTCTGCCTTAACATATCATAATTATGATATCCTGGAGTGAATGGAAATAAATAAGTCTGTAACAAATACAGATGATTTGATTATTGTAAAATGATTATTATAAAATGAACCATTTGCTTAACTGTAAGCTGTCAGATAAAACAATAATTAACTAATTAATAAATAAAAATCTACATTGCTGAGGTTCTATCCATATAGTGTACAGCATAAGATTTTAATTTACACTCATGACGATATTGTGTTTAATTGATTAACATTATCTCAATAAAGACGAAACAAATCAATATTTTCTTATCAAAATGACCTCATTTTCAGATGCATTAAAACCAGTTTTTAAAAACAATGATTTTACTCTGATTGTTTTTTCTAGAATATTCATCTAGAGATCGAAAGCTAAATAATCAATCGTAACTATATTTCTAAAACCACCACCGGACAATAGTAATCGAAACATAGGATCATACTATTGGTAAATTTGAAGCGTTTAAACCAGAACGGTACTCATAAAAACAATCCAATAATCTTTAGGTCCCAATAACCGATAGTTTATAATAAAATTGTATAAATAGAGAGATCACGCAGCACATAAATAGTGTTCATGAGCACTTACCTATAAGAAAATTTAGGATCACGGTAATCAAACAACATTAGAGTAAAGGCTATGGGTAAGGCTTTTTGCTTGATATGAGACAATGTTCTATGCTATAGCACCTGAAACTAGCCGATGGATTATGAAGGCAAAACATTTGTAGGGAGAACTGGCTCAAAAATCATCCGAAGATACAGAAAACTTTAATGTTATATAAATAATAAACAAAACCATATGATCAGAGCATCCTTATGTATAGACGAGCTCCGGTTGAAGAAAGCACAATTTATGTATATCAGTAAAGACTGGTGGGTAGGCCAAAATATTAATCATGATCAAAGATCACAACAGTCTCATCAATAAAACTATAATACAAACAAGCATATATATATATATATATATATATATATATATATATATATATACTACAGATTACGCATTATAAAAATATAACGTACGCTGAGTCAGCAGCAGCCATAACTGTGGAAGTGACTGTGAGTCCATGAGTGGCACCACTTACCATTATCTAAAATCATAAATTAAAAACGTTAACATAAAAAGTAGTTGAAAAAGACTCACTTAGCTGTAAATGTCAACTTACTACAAGTGTTGGAAAAATTAAGATACATTCTACGAAGTATGCAGACTGCTGATCTTGTAATCACGTGAAATCATTCATTAGGACGATACTCATCTTTCATGCTAAGTAATTTGGCATTTGTATATCCGTATCCACTAAAGTCATATTTAAGAGTTCAATCTTCTAAGTTTTAGGTGCAGTAGAAGCTTAATACTGAACTATCTCGTTTTGGTTATAATCAAAGTGAGTTAAACACGATTCAACTATTATCGCCCAAAGCTAGGATTTATTTTAGCTGCTTTATTGTATAGCTGTGAGTCGGTATGTAAAGTTACAATTTGACGTACATACATAAAGCACCTTTAAGAGAGGTAATTATATTAATACCCAGTTTTCCACTAAAAATAACACTACGCCAATATACAAGGAATATGTCAGTCAGTTGAACGAAACGCAGAACCTGGTATATCAGTACATTCGTCCAGCTTGCCATACACCTTTAGCAAAGCGAGCTGGAATTTTCGAAGAAATTGTCGGAGCAGTGGATATAGTGGGAGTTTTAACGGTAATAGAAAAGATTAAGCATCCAGGGTACGACGATTCTATAAGTATATTTTAGAGAAATAATAAAACAAGTATTTCGAGGAATTTGTAAAGAATACTGAAAGAGGAATTCATATAAAATGTTGAGTTTTCCAATCTATGCAATTAATAAATTATGGTGATGCAAATTGTTATGTGTTGGTTTGCAAAACAGACTACAAATTACATGCTTTCTGAAGTGAGCAAGACATTAAACCAGAAAACGGAATCTCGAACAGCAGAAAATGATTAGAACTTATGATCTAGTTTCTAAAATCTAGTATAGAAACAGCCTATATTTTCACTGCATTATTAACTAACCGATGAACTAAGTTAAACTAATTCATTTTTCAGGTACTTGGGTATAACAAACTACGTGTGAGGAGAAATTATACCATCTATCTGCTCAAGCTAAAGAAGGTGGGGAGAGGCTCGAACCTTGAACTTCGCGGTTACGGTCAAACACAAGATAGAATCTAGCCCATATGTGTATCTGTTCAGACAATCACACAATATTAAGACAGAGATATACCCGGGCAGTATTATAGGTAGAAACAGTATTAGTGGTAGTAGGAAATATTAGAAACAGAAGTGACTTGAGAAAATATAGATTCGTGGGATAAATTTTTTAAGATTATTCAGAAACTTAGGGTCTAAAGAAAGAGACGAAAACTGAATGTACCTGAGTCATTGAGAACAATTCCAAGGCAAGCCGCTGAAAGTCTCTAGCTATTCGTTAACGTAATCGCACTGACTTCAACCAGGTAGTCGGTACCTACCTACCTGGCTTAGACCAATGGTCGACGACTTTATGGACTGGTGCAATGTCTTAATTTGGCCAACTCTAGCTTTCTTATGGCCTACATATACACCAGAAAATATTACCCATCAAGGTAGGAGGTGGTTGACCATTAATAATATATATTCCAACCACCTCAGTTATTGAACCAACCAGTTCACCATTTCTACCTAGAACTCTACATTTAACCTCAACATCAACCCGTTAGTACTAATGTACATCAGTAACACATCTGTATGTGCATAAGCTCATTTATTTAGTCGAAGATTTTCATATGCATAGCATGATTTTGCACACTGTGGCTTATTTCAGAGAGTTGGAGTTATGTACGCAAAAAGTACGGAGCCACCACAGCTGATGAGAATATCCAACAATAATCAAAAACAAATTATTGAACTGATGAAAAAATAATGTGTACTCACCTCAGTTACAAAAGGAGTATGTTTTTTCAAAGAAGGGTCGATAGAGTCTTTAAAAATATATTTATTGAAAGCATAAGCAAGACAAGCGGTTAACCAAACTGTAATGACTTCTCCAATTATTCTAGGTGTCAAACCACTAGAAAGGAATATCATTCAAATAGAACACACCTGAAGAAACTCAAAAAGCCTTCATTTTTTAGTATGGCAGGAAAAGCGTTTAAAATAGAACTGGAAGGAGGTGAATAAACTAATTTAATTTATTTAGGATTCATACTCATATAATCGTACTCCATTGAGAAACTGTGACATTTGGCGAATCATTATGACTATTTCTTATTGAAGAAAATACATATATTTAAATACCTTGGAATGGATAACTGACAACAACACCAATTACTCGAGCAAAAGTACATTTACTCGTCTAAAATTGTAAGTTAGTTGACAGTATTGTTAATCAAAATTACACTGATTAAAAAAATTCTGATCCCTTTATCAGTTTCAAAATATGACTTCTTCTCAAAGGAATCCGGGGTTAAGTACTTTTGCGAATAATGATTGTATTAAATATATTGTACCTCCATAGTGATGGTAGTTGAGTAGGATTTAACAAATGATCCAAGAATATTAGCAGGAAGACCAATGGTGAAAATTCCATATAACCCAACCTCTTGGCGAAGTTTACGACCTTTAACCACAATGAAATAATTGTTAAGGAAACTTGCAGTAAGTGAAAACATTTGGGTAGTACAATGCTTCATATTTCGAATCTAGTATGTTACGTAAAGTAAATCGACGAACAGGAGGAAATGGTTCATATCCCAACTTAGGAGTTCGATTTGAAGGAATATGGACTTACCAACATCATTGTCCTAGCATAGGTCAGCGGATGAGTTACGGCCGGCATGAACGACGGTATTAGACATTGATATGTGGTTTCAAAATAATCCATAGTAATCAAGCTATCAAAGGAAAATGTGTTAGTAGATGCAATGATGTGGACATAAAGTATAATACAGTTGATTAAATTGAATAAACTTTATAGACAGTAATGCCATTAAATTTCGAATGAAATGGTTTTAGGTATGTTTCAATTATTTCTAGTGATGATGTGAAAAAAAACTAATTAAATACAATGGTATACATACATTATAAATCTACTTGTTTTATTGTTATCATTTTATTGTTACATTTTTTATTGGCAATAACTCATTAAATTTATCTCTGCATCTTTTCAGAATATTCATTTGACACAGGTCCTTTGCCTTGGGTGAGAAGTCTGTAGTTCAGTTGCCTGTCAACTCCTGGGCACAGAGTGTATACAATGTATTCATCCAAAATAATCAATAGACAATATGACAGTTAGCTCAAGACGCCCAAAAACAATAATTATTTTCGATAGGCAAGCCCGACCACCACGTCAAGGTAGCAGCTACGGTCGGGAATACCGTATGGATTAGAACTATAAGTCAAAAGTTCGTAGACTAGCGGCGTAAGAAAACCTGCTTCGGTTTCGACACCCTGAAGGTATCATAGTCCACTCACAAATTCAATCATTTTTATACAGACAGACAGACAGACACAACGCAGAACTTCGTACATAAGTACATCAGTTCAGGTTAGCATACCACATCAGCACAGAGACGCAACTGTCAGTTTGCATGTCGACGGGGAGAACCGCATCCCGAACATGCTTGCATTGTTGCTTAGAGTAGTGAGAAGACTGCATTTTGTCAGAGTCTTCACCAAATAGGACGATGTCATCGGCATATTCTAAGTCAGCAAGCGTGGCTCCTGGTAGAAAATCGACTCCTGAAAAGTCAGACGGGGATAACGTTGTATCTAGCAGCATGTCTATGACAAAATTAAACAAGAATGGAGAAAGTGGACATCCCTGACGGACACCACTTGAAGTAAAGAATTCCCGTAACAGTTCGCCATATGCTCTTACCCGACCCGTAGTTTTAGAGTAGAGAGCTTGTATGAGGTTAATGTACTTCCTTGATACACCTTTCAATCACAGACACTGCCACAGAACCTCACGATCCACTGAGTCGAATGCCGCCTTTAGGTCCAGGAAGACAACTATTGTCGAACGTCTAAATGTGTGTCTGTTCCAGGACCTGTCTTAGTGTGAAAATGTGGTCTATACAACCACGTCCAGGTCTGGAACAAGCCTGGTTTTCTCTAGTCTGCTCTTCACGAGGTCTATTAAGGCGCCTACGGATTATCGAGGCTAACAATTTAGAAACTGTGATTGTCGCAAGAAGACTTTTGTCCTTTCTTATAAATTGGGACAATCAGGGATTGAGACCAGTCGGATAGGAAAACATCTAGTTCCCAGATTCTACCTAAGATCTCGGTCAATCTAACTGTTAAAACTGGACCACCATCCTTAAAAATCTCAGGGGTAAGCATATCAGGACCTGCTGCTCTACCTAGCTTCAGATTTCCTATCGCTTTCTCAACTTCACAAAGACTAGGAGGAATGAAGTCGATTTGCCATTCATGATGACTGGAGATCGTGGGTAACCGAAATGTGGCTCAAGGCCGATTGAACTGATCCCTAAAGTGTTCTGCCCATCGATCCAATCTCCTGGATTGTGAATGAAAGATAGTCCAGTCCGTTTCCGAGATAAACTCACTCACATTCGGTTTCCTTGATAAGTCGATACAACTGTCTGTTGTTGCCTTTCGCCGCCGCCTTTTCCATCGCTTTTGCTTTCGCCACCCACCACTGTTCCCGGTCGTTACGTAGGCTTTTATCAGCCTGCGCTTAAGCTGACTTCGTTCTTCATCATGTTCAGAGCCAGGTGGGATAAGTTTTCAAGCACCCATTAGTTCGGTAGATGCTACGGAGATCCACCGCTTCATTCTAGCCTTATGGTTTACCTTACTCCGTCAGTTAGTCAGTCAGTTGCAACGTAGAACTTCGTACGTAAGTACATCAGTTCATGTCGCCATACCACATCAGCACAGAGATATAATTGTCAATTCAAATCCAATAGTTGAAGAGGTAGTAAAGGTATTAGAAGTAATCGGAGAGGTTAGAATTAGAAGATATTATTCACGAAGTATGATTCAAGGAGAAAAGTTTAGAGAGTCGAAACTAGAGGTGTTGAAGAACTCAGAAGATTAGGATTTGAGAGAACACAAAGAATAAATGCACTGGCGCCATTGCGAACGATTTCGAGCCATGTCATTCAAGGTCTCTAGCCATCGATTATTATGATCTCGCGGACCCCAACCAGGTAGTCGACAATTACCGACATGGCTAAGTCCACTCGTCAATGACTTCATGGATTTATGCCATGTTTTGGTCTGGCCGCCCATAGCTTTCTTCCAACCTATTCCTACACTACAAAACAAAGCTCGACGAGGCAGTCGGTGGTTAGGCATACGCAACACGTGTCCCAACCACCTCAACTGATGAAGTTTCACCACTTCATCGACTGATCTGCCATTCTTACCTAGTACCCGTTTCCTAATAACAGCGTTGCTCACTCGGGTGTCCCACGATATACGAGCAATGCTTCGAAGACACCTATGATCGAAAACCAATAACCGACGAGTATCTTCTACTCTCACTGGCCATGTTTCACAGCCATAAAGTAAGACGGAGCGAACTACTGCGCAGTACACTCGTCCTTTAGTCAGCAAACGGATATCTCGCCTACGCCATAAGTGACGCAGGTTGGCAAAAGCCAATCGAGCCTTCTGTATCCGTGCTGAGATTTCGTCAGTCACCAGGCCATCGGCACTGATGAGACTCTCGAGATAAGTGGAGCGGTCTACACGTTCGACTACTTCACAACCTATCACTAGTTCAGGTGCCGATGAAACCCAATCTTGAAGCAACATTTGGCATTTCGAGGGGGAAAACCGCATCCCGAACATGCTTGCATTGTTGCTTATGGTAGTCAGAAGACTCTGCATTTTGTCAGAGTCTTCACCAAGTAGGACAATGTCATCGGCATATTCTAAGTCAATAAGCGAGCCACCTGGTAAAAGGTCTACTCCAGAAAATCTAGACGAGGATAAGGTTATTTCTAGGAGCTTGTCTATGATAAAATTAAACAAGAATGGAGAAAGTGGACATCCCTGACGGACACCACTTGAAGTGAGGAATTCCGGTGACAATTCGCCATATGCTCTTACTCGACCAGTGGTGTTCGAGTAGAGAGCTTGTATGAGGTTAATGTAATTTTCTGGTAGACCTTTTAATGACAGACACTGCCACAGAACCTCACGATCCACAGAGTCAAATGCCGCCTTCAGGTCTAGGAAAACAACTATTGTAGGACGTCTAAATGTGTGTCTGTGTTCCAGGACCTGTCGTAGTGTGAAAATGTGGTCTATACAACCACGTCCAGGTCGAAAACCAGACTGGTTTTCTCGAGTCTGCTCTTCACGAGCTTTCGTTAAGCGTCGAAGTATTATTGAGGCCAATATTTTAGATACTATATTAGTTAGACTTATTCCTCTGTGATTGTCACAAGAAGACTTTTGTCCTTTCTTATAGATTGGGACAATCAGTGATTGAGACCAGTCGGATGGGATCACGTCCAGTTCCCAGATTCTACCTAAGATCTCGGTCAACCTAGTTGCTAAAACCGGACCACCATCCTTAAATATCTCAGGGGTCAGTCTATCAGGACCTGCAGCTCGTCCTCGTTTCATATTTCCTAACGCTTTGTCAACGTCATTAAGACTAGGGGGACTTGGGTCGATTTGCCATTCAGGATGACTAGGGATCGTGGGTAACCGAAGAGTGGCTCGAGGCCAGTTGAACTGATCCCTAAAGTATTCTGCCCATCGATCCAGTCTCCTGGATTGAGAATAAATAATAGTCCCGTCATTTTTTGAGATAGTCTCACTTACACTAAGATTCCTAATACCAGTTTCCTTGATAAGTCGGAAAAGTTGTCTACTGTTTACCTTACTAGCAGATATCACTGCTGTTTCTACAGCATTTTTGATATCATTCCAACCTGTTTCACTTAGTCTACCTACTTGAGCATGAAAGTCACCAGCCATTATTACTACATCGGAGCTCCCACCTTTTTGGAGGGGGTTCGTAAGCTTTCTTTCACCTCATCTGAACTGCAGTCAGTGGGGGCATGGGCAGATACGACGAAGAGACAATGACGGGTGTCCCTATCTTTCCGAGTTCTTATTGTCCCGTTCAGTCGGACAGCGCACAAGCGACTATCTACAGGGATCCAGTCAAGGAGAGATTGTTCTGCCCTACAACTCAATGCTATACCTACACCACCTAGACTCGGGGAAGCAGCATCAGGGCTACCGAATACACGAAGAGTAAATCGAGCTGCTTCTTTATTTTGATAAGGTGAAATCAGAATAATAATTTTACTAGGATCCTGTATGCGCGTTTCCGAGACACAGCATACATCAATTGAGCGAGATTCTAAAGTCCTAGCTAAGGAAGCCTGTTGCCGTATTTGACACGACGTCCGTACATTAAATGCCCCAACATGTAGTTTAGAACGGGGTTTCAGGAGACCAGGAATGACGTTTCGTGAACTAGCATCGTTTGCATTAGCGGTGCAGTGAGATGAAGGAATGTGACAAGAGTTAGTCGCAAAGATAAGAGAGATATTAAGGGGTGTAAGAAGGGTTTGATTTCGACCAATTTGGTCCCTCGTGCTGTTACGGGTATGAGGGCGGTTGTCACTTCCCGGCTGCCCACACCGTGGAAGGTTGTTTCTTGAGGGACCTAGAAAGGAAGGTAGATTAGTGTTGGTCTTAAAGATCTGGGAGCGTGACCGCAGAGCCCAAGGGACAACTGCTTAAGGCCGGTCACGCACGGCGTTTTTATGAAACGTTTTTTGAGGATCAGCTCAGCTCTTAAAAGCCCTTAGTGGGCACCCTTACCCAAGGAGACGGAAATCCGTGAGGTAGGGTGACGTGTAACACTTTTAGGGTCGACCTCTTCTAACCCTCCCTTCCTCGTGAGAAGGCAGCATCGCTGCAGATGCTGGTTGTCCGAGGGAAACACCTTACTGCTGTCACACCCCTCTGCAGTCAGCAGCACGACTCCGCCCTCAGACATTGTGTTGCTACTTTTAGTCTCATCGTTTACTATTCTACCTGCCTGGCATGGTAGAACCTCCAGGAACATATATTCCAGCCAGTATAGCTCGGCTAGGTCATGGCGATAGGCAAGCCCGACCACCACGTCAAGGTAGCAGCCCAACTAACCCCGGTTATCGCATTGTGATTAACAATGACGCTAGTCACCAAGAGTTGAGGATTAATTATACAATGGAATGTCGGTTCATGCATGAAACCTACCCAAATATACGTTGACCGAACTGCAAAGGACGTAAATTCAAGTGTTAAAGACCAGGTGACCAATATTTAGGAATAAAATACTACAATGTAGATTACTGCTGTCTCTACAATAACAATTTCGTACATTGTTTTGGTCGTTCTTTTAAACTATGTTTGTCTTTTAAAAATAAGTCTGCCGGGCAGCTGTTGATTTAAAACAAGATTATATTTGACTTTTCAAATGAAACAATGAAGTGATTTGTGGTGTCCGAAAAGAATGCTTATGGCGAGTACATTCATATGACTATGATAGCAAGCCAACTAGCACAAACCTTAGGTCTATGGTTTCCTCTCGACTACTTTAAATCCTTCAGCTTCTTCGCAATGATGGCATTAACTTCCATTAAGTTCTGTGAAAAGTTGGCTGTTTTTCGAGCTGATATTGCGGAAAATTATGAGACTCAGTTATCAAATTGGGGAAAATATAGGGTGTACTTTTGGAAGAAATTAGACGTCTAGACGGAGGTAAAAGTGGTACTTTCGAGACATTTTCCATTAACGATGAAATTTTGGGGGAAAGTTGCTCCACTAATCCTGGGTGTGGTAAAAGGCGAAAATTTGATTGTATCCACACCAATTTACTGGAAGACTCATCCCAAAATTTGTTTCTAACTTCTTTTTAAGGTTTCTTTGAGTAGAAATATTTGGAGGGACTGAAAATTTCATTATGAATTAGTTGACATACGTTTACATTAATGATTGACCATCCAGTACAAAACTAGAAAAATATCTTGGAAATAACATATTTCAACGTTTAGAAGCTAACCATATATCCTCATAGCAAACCGAACACTTACCACAACTTCTGACCTTGATCTAGACGTTTCAAAAGCACGAGGACATAGGACAGAGATTCAATATCCAATATCTTTTTCACGAGCTAGTGTAAACCAATTGATTCCTTCGCTCTCGATTCTTTTTCTTTCGGTACGGTTCCAGGTGTTCAGTAATGTCCAATGGATGGAGGTCTAGCCACTCGACTGTCTAATTCTAGTCAGCTGGCAGTTGGTTGTGAGTTTGTATGTCTCGAGATTTGAATGAAAACGTTTGTTTCAGGGCAGTAGGGTTTCTGGATACCAGCAGCCATCACATTACCAGACCGGTGATCAATTAGTTGCAATGTGGAGAGTAATCAGGATAATAAGGATAAAATTCTAATGCTAATATGAATAAGATTTCAGAACTAAGTAAATCAATAGATAATTTAGTTTATTAATTGGTAGTGAAGATTGTGAGAGAGGACAGAAGTGTAGGCAACAGAGAGGAAACAGATAATAAGCGAGATAGAATTAATGAGTGATCTGAGGAGATGGCAATGATAACAACTAGCAGGTCTAAAGATATGCATCAGGCACAGGGAGATGGTAATTCGTATGTGAGTACATGTTCAAATCTGTTCTTAAAGCTGTCACCAGAGGGGGCTGTGGTCACCTCGTCTGGGAGAGCGTTCCAAGTTGCAACTGCTCTCAATGAGAAAAAGTGTGCACGAACCTGAGTATTCGCTCTTTGATGTGCAATCTTTCGAGGGGCGTGGGGGTAATGCATAGGTAAGATGCTCACGTTTGGATGGGTCGGCGTGCTTAATATGTTGTACGACACAATCAGATCTACTCTGATTCTCCTGTAGCTCAGTGGAAATAATCCCAAGAGCTGGATTCCATCGTCGTAAGGTTTATTTTTCAACCCGATCACCCTTCCGGTTGCTCGTCTCTGAATTCGATCCAAGAGATTTGTCTCTTTTAAGCAGAGGGAGTGCGATGACATTGTGAACCTCCAGGTGTGGGCGCGCCAGCTCGCGTGCACTCTATTTACCATGGTTTGAAACTTTCTATTCTCAAGGTAATTTCCGAGCAAAGATAGGAGTGGGTCAGTGAAGCCCATTTCCACAACCTTTTCAATTAGGCGTGAGTGGGGTACTGTGTCAAAGGCTTTTGCAAAGTCGAGAAATATTACGTGCACCGGCATTTTACGGTCCGAACAGGAATTTCAACTGTCCCATGCAATGAGAAGATTAGATGCACACGACTTGCCTTTCCGAAACCCGTGTTGAGCTTCATGGAGTATTTTATTCTTATCCATGTAAACCCCCATTTGTTCGTCCACCAGCCCTTCCATAACCTTTGATAATATTGGTAGTAGTGCGACTGGGCCGTAACAGGCTGGGTCCTTTCTGTGTCTTCCTTTGCAGATTGGAGAGTGAGTAGCTTGTTTCCAATCAGCTGGGAATTGGTGTGACTCCAGCGAATGCCTGAACAGGTCACATATCGGTGAACAGAGGACTTCTGCACATTGTCGCAAGGATATGGGGCGGATTTCGTCACAAACTGGTGACTTACCTGGGAGTAAGGTTTTTGGTTAGTACTAAGTCAGGAGTGATACGGATGTTCCCTAAGCCGTCAGCTGGCAATGGGTTGGCCTAGTACTCTAAACATGTAGGCGCCTGGTTTCACTGATCAGAAAAGTTGGTGTTGAAGATCTCGGCCATCTTTAGGTTGGTGAGGTCTTCCCCGTTTGGTCGTTTGAGAGAACACAACCGTTGATTAATAGGTTTTCTTTTGGACATGAACCTAAACAGATGCTTCGGGTTTGCCTGTATTTTGGCAGCTAGCTTCATCTGAAATTGTCTCCTGTCACCTCGAATTTTGGTATTGCATCTGTTTCTCAAAGCCAAGTAAGAACTGCGATCGAAATCCTTCAAGGAGACCTACCACTTGTGCCAGGCTCTCCTCTTCGCCTGTAGCAAGCGTTCAGTGCCGCGCCTAACCCAGGTTCTTCTATTCCCACGTGTGTGGTGTGACTGAGTTACATTGTCTACGACAGCGTTTTGGATGATATCTCTCACTGCTTGCCAGTGATCATCTACTGTCAGCCTCCACCACTCCCGTGGCCATGGGGCATGTAGGAGGACCTCTCTCATGTGTGTATCGTTTGCCCTAGTGTAGCAAAGATAGGGCTCGTTATCGTCCTGTGTGAGTGTTTCGTTTATGACCATGTTAAACAAGACTGTTCCATGGTCACTACTACCTATTGGTGCGCGGACGTGAACATCCTCAACCAGGGGCTGGTCATTAGTTAACAGATAATCCAGGTTTGGGGACTTTCCTTCCTTAGTCTATCTAGTGGCGCTGCATACGTGCTTAGTCAGCCCAGAACTTCTGATGGCTGTACCAAGTTGTCTTTGGAACCAGCCAGTGGGAGTTATACTCTGATTACAGAGATTTAGATTTGGGATATTGAAATCTTCCGCTAAGAGTATTTGATCAAACCCCAGTAGTGGCAGTTGCAGTATTACCTCAATCAGTTTGCTTTTCTGGGCCTTAGTAAACGAAGGAGGTCAGTAAATCTCTCCAATCAAGTATTTGGTGCCATTTGTATAGAAACAACACCAACATAATTCTTTCACCTCAGTTAGTCGGGTGTCGTATAGCCGCTCTGCTTTTAAGTGGCTGTTTATATATATTGCCACTCCACCTTCAGTTTGGTGTACCCTATCGCTTCGGAAGAGTGTCATGCCTGGCAAGCTCACTTCTTCGTCTGCAATGTCAGGGGATAGCCATGTTTCAATTAAGATTATGCTCTTCGGATCCATCTGAGCACATATCCCTGATTTCTAACAGCTTACCCCCTAGCCCTCTTACGTTGCTATAGAGGCACTTGGTGGTTTGTCTCAGCACCTGGTGCACTGCTGCAGCAGCAGCCGTTGTCGGATTTCCAAACAAGTTATTCAAACAGAAGTGGCCAGTTCTGTGTGAACTGGCCTCTGCAGATTTTTGGCCTGCGCGGTTGGTTCAATCGTGTCTTGTGCCAGGGGTAGTTGACCGAGGTTAACTATCAGTTTTGTGCGTTCATTGTGGCCTCCTTGCTGTTGTCTCACAGATCTAGGTCGGCTTTCGCAGCACCTGATGTGGCTAGACAGATCCTTCCTTGAACTGTACCAAGCTTGTAGTGTTTAAGTCAGGTCTTCTCGGTTCCTAAATGTCACAGCCATCAGGTGTGGTGACTTGATAGTCGTAAGGTGTGACGGGCAGGGCAACCTAAAAATGCAAACAGCCATCGTGGTGTGAAGGGATAGGCTACGCGACAGCCATCGCCACTGTTGCACATCGTGCTCGTGATCTTCATCCAGGTTACCGTCACTGAGTTCGGGTACACCGTGAACTACCATAGTGGTCTGCTCTTGGGTGCATGGCGAAGTTCATGCTGCCGTTCGTACCGACCACGGCTTGTCATGCCTGATGCGAATCGGCGAGGACAATTTGACAGACGGTCTTTGGGATGAAAGGATGATGTTTTTAGCAAGTAGTGCCGAGTCAAGAGTTACCCTCATTGGAGGGGTTTTCCATTCGAGATATTTCGGCCTTTGAAAAGGCGGCACATTTTGGCTGGGACGTTGCACATTCGGAGGGTTGTGCAGTGTTTATCCCACTGCTCTTTGTCGAAGGTAGCCCTACCTTCTAGCAAGCTTTCTTCCGATACTGGGACATTAAATAAAATGAGTTTACTCTGTCGTCCCTGTTCTTGGGTTGTAGCCGCTTGTGAGTTGGGGTGTTGCTATTTCCCTTCTTGACGTTCACCCACCGTTTTGTATTGCTAACAGATACTGGGGGTTAGAAGCAACCGGCAGTTTTGTCAGTGTGCTAGTCAGGGTTGTGGTAGCCTTGGTCACAGTAGTCTCAGCGATGGAACCATTGATAATATTAATAATAATAATAATTTATTCTCAAGTATCTTACCAGCATTCATGACGGTGGGGCGATAACCTCAGTCTACCCATGTCTGTGTGGCAGAACATTTTGTTTGCTTACGGCTCCTTACGATATAGCAGGATGTAACAAATCAGTGATATTGATGTTACTTTTCCTTTTTAATCTCGTCTACAACCCATGTCTGTAACCTTGCACTGGTTTTTACTTCCTGCCGAGAAATCCTATTACAAGCTGGTCTGGACAACTATACTAAAAAAAACTCATTCCTAACTTCTTGAGCCGCAGAGTTAAAAATATAAAGAATAAACAAAAAAATATTATATCACTGAGCCTCTTTATTATATTTTGTAAATCAACAGTATTACTAACAACTTCGTTCTTCTGTTCATACTCTCCTCTATTCATTTGACTAACTTCTGACTACTGAATTGTCTTCATTAACCTACATAAGTGCAGGTGTACAGTTAGTGTTCTGATATTAAAAAATTCTGAGTAAACATACCTTTGTTTTATCCATAAACGTATGTGCGAATCCGTTGTTCCGCTTCGAACAAGAATATTTTCTGTTCCGCTCCTCGTCCCGTTTTCTTTATTCCTCTTTTTTCAGAACCTCATTCCAATCCTCAGATATTAGTCTGGATAGTTGCAGTAGACTTGGTTACCCTACCCAAGAACATGTGAAATCATTAGCTGATGAATATCAACCAGACCTTTGTATATTTACCGCATCAATTCTTTTTATATGAAAACCTGTCTCTACCATGAATCGTTTCTCAGTCCATAAGATGATTGTCGTAACGCAACCTTCGTAACTTGCGCCAATTATTCGCATTGTACATTCCATCTTTAGGAATCCAATGAATCTCATGAAATGTTTCAGTAATTGTATACCGTTTTATAAGAAATATGTTGCTAATCTTAACATTTTGATCGTGCCTGTAAATGCGAATAATCGGCGCGAGTGACAAAAGTTGCGTTACTACAAACTGCTAGTGACTGCGAAACAACGCAAGATAGATCCAGGTCTGCATATAGCAAGAATTGATGAGGTAAATGTGCTAAGCTCTGGTTGATATTCTTTATATAATAAATTTACAGGCTCCTGGGTAAATTAGCCCAATCTTCGTCA